TTAAAATGTGACTTGTTACTCCACTTCTGCCTCAGGAGCTCAAATCGACGGCATTTGAACTGTAACAGCACTTGGGGTTCGAGGGAATTGAGAAACACTCACATGCTCAGGCCACATGGACAAAGAGACAAAAGTCTCAAGTGTTGGAGACGTGTTCAGTCCCAGTGTTTGATGAAACCAAAGGCTCCTCTGAAGGACATGTTTATCTCAGCTCTGGTTGCTCTGGTCATCCTCTCTGGTCTGTACAAGTCTATGGTCACAGCACACACTGTGTCACACACTGTAAAGTGCACATGCTCGTGCACGAGAGTGTGTGGATTCAAATGTAGAATATTGTGGAGAATAATGTGTAAAATAAACAGCCCTTCTCTGTGTCTATGTGAATTTTCTGATGATTACCTGATCAAACTCTTCCTCAGACTCTCATTACTTCTGCTCCTCTCCACAAGTGTTGGTTTTTCCTGTATGTCCAGACTCTGGTTGTTCTCACATGATGTGCCTGTTGGCTTTTTAGTGACTATTTCTTCATTATTGATTTACTCAGAGTAAAATAATAATAATAATACTTCAGTTTTATACAGCACTTTTCTGGACACTGGTCAGAGCATTCTTCATTCACTCCACACTTGGTGGTAAACTATTGTTGTAGCCACAGCTGCCCTGGGGCAGAGTGACAGAAGCGAGGTTGCCAATCTGCACCATCAGACTCTCCGACCATCACCACACTCACACACACACACACACACACACACACACACACACACACACACACACACACACTCACACACACACACACACACACACACACACACACACACACACACACACACACACTCACACACACACACACACACACACACACACACACACACACACTCACACACACACACACACACACACACACACACACACACACACACACACACACACACACACACACACACACACACACTCACACACACACACACACACACTCACACACACACACACACACACACACTCACACACACACACACACACACACACACACACACACACACACACTACACACACACACACACACACACACACACACACTCACACACACTCACACACACACACACACACACACACACACACACACTCACACACACACACTCACACACACACACACACTCACACACACACACACACACACACACACACACACACACACACACACACACACACACACTCACACACACACACACTCACACTCACACACACACACACACACACACACACACACACACACTACACACACACACACACACTCACACACACACACACACACACACACGCAACACACACACACACACACCACTTTCATAGTAGGCCATGTGGGTGAAGTGTCTTGCCTAAGAACACAACAGCAGGTTTTGAGACTGGCGCCTCCTGTGGCTCCTGATTTTCCCTGAAGGCCCGGCCCTGCTGAGCTTCTGAGACCAGACAGAATCAGACTTTGACAAACCATATGGGCACAGTGATGACGAGTGTGTTACATCGTGACAGGAAAAGTGAAACAATGAGGTCACAGAGTCAGTCACAGCACAAAGCAAAATGAAACCTCAAAATACTGCCCTCTACTGGGGATGTGGATCTATTTCAAAGAATCTAAAGTTTGGGTTTAAGGGTTCTTACCAGTGTTAATGAACCTTTTGTCAACAAATGTCAACAAGAATATTTCTAAAACATGTTATGCTCACATATACATATTTCTTGTATTTCTTTATTTTTCTGATTTCACACAAACTGAAGCGTGACCTCCTTGTTCCTTCCTTGTTACGACGGTTCATTTGGAGGGTTCATTTGGCAGGTTCACTTTAGCTCTGGCAACACGCTGCCTCCTCTCCTGTGACAGAATACCACAGAATAGTGACATGATCACTCAGTCACTCAGTAAGAGCGCTCTTTTATATCTACACATTTTATAGAAGAAGAAATGCACACACACCTGCCCCTCCCTCACCTGCCCCTCTCTCACCTGCCTCCCTCCCTGCCCCCTCACCTGCCCCTCTCTCACCTGCCCCTCTCTCACCTGCCCCTCCCTCACCTGCCCCTCTCACCTGCCCTCTCTCACCTGCCCCTCTCTCACCTGCCCTCTCTCACCTGTGTCACCTGCCCTCCCTCACCTGCCCCCTCTCTCACCTGCTCCCTGCCCCTCCCTCACCTGCCCCTCCCTGTCCCCTCACCTCTCCTCCTGCCCCTCTCTCACCTGTGTCACCTGCCCCTCCCTTACCTGCCCCTCCCTCACCTGTGTTACCCACCCTCCCTCACCTGCCCCTCTCTCACCTGCCCCTCCCTCACCTGCCCCTCTCACCTGCCCTCTCTCACCTGCCCCTCTCTCACCTGCCCCTCCCTCACCTGCCCTCTCTCACCTGCCCCTCCCCCCTGCTCCCCTCCCCACCTGCCCCTCTCTCACCTGCCCCTCCCTCACCTGCCCCTCTCTCACCTGCCCCTCCCTCACCTGCCCCTCTCTCACCTGCCCCCTCCCTCACCTGCCCCCTCTCTCACCTGCCCCTCTCTCACCTGCCCCTCCCTCACCTGTGTCACTTGCCCCTCCCTCACCTGTGTCACTTGCCCCTCTCTCACCTGTGTCACCTGCCCCTCCCTCTCCTCCTGTGTCTGCCCCTCCCTCTCCTCCTGTGTCTGCCCCTAACCCCAATGACTTTTATTTGGTCAAAATGTATTTATTGCTTAATGTAAGTTTAAAAAAAAGAAAAAAAAAAAAAAGTTGCAGTGTTCATTGTAGGCGATTTGGAGGAGGATAATTCACAGGTGCACACTGGGTAAATGAGGCAGACTGGGGGGAGGAGGAGGAGGTGACGACTTTAGTGGAATTGGAACACGAGTGGGCGGAGCTATGATGACATGGAGCCAAAGTGTCTCAGAACCCAGGGTGACTGGGTGACTTGGACTGACCCTTGTCTGTTTGATCTCTTGCACTTTGGAGCACAGACCAGCAGGTGGACGTGGGCCATGTCTTACTTCTCTTTTTCCTCTTTTTCTCTTCTCCTCACCTCTTCTCCTCGATTCTCCATTTTTCAGCTGTCAATCAAATGTGTCATATTAAGTGGCATCCCAAAGAAAACCATGGAAGGCAGGAGTAAACATGGGAGCAGGAGCAGACATCAAGGAGAAGGAAGCAAGGAAAGAGAAGTAAGATATAGCCTTGGATCAGTCTCAGTTGACCTCTGACCCCACTCACAGGCAGAGAGGCGGAGTCAGTCTGATGAAAAAGGGCTAAAAGCCTCAGGCAGTGTAAATGTCATGACCTCTGGAGCTCCTCGGGCTCCAGATCCCAGCAGGAGGAGACACAATGCACAAGAATGTAGAGCAGAAAGTATCTGAGCAGTAGTGCAAGTCAAAAGAAGTACTTTGACTTATAAAAATAGAAGTAAACTAAAAGTACAGATACATGTTAGGAAAGGAGTCAGTTTTGGCTCCCATCCAGAAGTCTTTTTCATTTTGCCAACATGTCTTGAATAGAGCTTTTCACGGGGCTAAACACAGATTTGAGGTCACGTTGTTCCTTCATATCAAGACAATCAATTGCAGTTCTATAGGGGATTAAGGTACTTTGAAAAACTTTTACTTGTATTTTCACAAGCTACAACATGTCAAAACGCAAAAGGAACCAAGCACACTGCTCCTGGGTTTGTGTAGGACAGTGTAGATATCCACAGCGGTTGCCAGAGAAGACATTTTCATCCCTTTTCTGTCTGCATTAGCCTGCAAAAATAACCCTCTGGATTATAATCCGCTCGAGCACATTTGGGTGAGGGCAAAGCCTCATTAAAAGTCACTGGTGAATATGTTTTATTTTAGATCATAATTAGTGCAAAAGTGGCATCTGAACCAACAGCTAACCCACTTCCAGTGAGAGTTTTGAACTTGTGGTTCTGGTGCACAGCTAGACACTAAACCTGCTCTTCTACATGTGACTGAGGAGAGACAGAAATGTCATGAAACAAATATTGGATATACAGAACTATGGGGACTGTATGAGCCCTGGTCACAAATCCATGCACATGACTCAAAACTACACCTGCCCACATCCATCCCTGAATAAACCTGTACGTTCATTGCCAGACACGATTGCTTCAAGTAAAGACACATTTTTATTTTGGCGTGACATTCTAGCCATCTCTTGGGACTGATGATAATTAGCAGGATGGTTAATGAACTAAGATCCCGGTACATCCTCCTCTGCCAAAATAACCTCTTCCATTTTGAGTTCTTAACATCTATAACCTGGACTCTTTTTTTCACTCTGACTTCTCAGAGGGTTGGATGTAGACTTTGCCTTTTCAGAATGCACCTGCTGGTTTATTTGTCCCAGCAGCACTTGCAGCAAAACTGTGACGTCAGTTGTAAAGTGTGCTATTCAAAAACAGTGTCCAGATTTATGTTATTAGGTTCTTTTTTCACATGAGTTTGCATGAGTTTGTTTTCATTCCTGACACCGTCACTGTGACTCTCACACACCTGAGATACTGTGCTGAGGAAGTGGTACTGCAGGTGGCGCTGTCGTCCTGCCTTCACTGGTAGGAAGACAGCACCAAAATCTGTTTAGATCATCTGAGCGACACGTCACAGCAACATCAAGAGACAAAGATGAAGACCACAGCAACTGTCAGGGATGAAAACAAACTCTTGGTCTGAAAAAAGAACCTAATAACATAAATTATCAGAAGACCAAATGAACCTCATTGGAGTGTGCAGATTATTACCTCTGAATGTTTATCACACTTGGACCACTCCCTGACGAATGAGGGATTACACCATCTCATGTTCTTAGAACTAAAGATACATATACAAAAAAAAAATATGATTATATATATATATGTATATATATATATATATATATATATATATATATATATAGAGTACAGTACTTTTACTTCTGTACTTTCCATCACTAAGTATCTCTGTGTGGACAGATCACTGCTCAAATGACTGCACCAATTTCACAAGTGACATCAGATTTTAGCCAAGTTTTTTATTGTGTCATTATTTTAGGCTGGATCAAAATTGAGTCATTCTGTTGGTGTAAAATTGTTCTTCTTTAAATAGAAGTTCCTGATAATAAATATTTGTTTAAAAAAAAGAAAAAGAAAGAACTGGAGACAGATTAAAACTTCAAATGGGAACAAAAACAACCACATGGCAAAACAATTTTACAGATGCAGCTAGGCCACGGTAACCATGGTAACCTGGTCCAGAGCAGGATTGGATCCCTGAACCCTAAATCTGATCCACAGTCTCATTTTGCTGCTGAAGAAGCTCTCTGATTAGTCAGGTTTAATGAGGAAGTGTTTTGTCCAGTCGTGTACGTTTGCGAGGCTGGGTTGGTTTTCTTTGGACACTATGGATCACTAAAGCCTTTCTCTCAATGAACTAACAGTGCACAGACATGCGATTTTAGAGAGATTAAAAATAAAGCTCTGAATACAAATATGATGTGAAGAGAAAAGGAGGCAGTGAAAGGTGCTCCTGACCCCCACCGAGGACAGGGACTCCCTAAATGTTCAGCATTTCATTTCATGGACTAACCTTAAATGTCCCAAAGCCCTAAACATAAACACATGAACTGTTCCCAAACCTAAAAATAATCCTAGTCTTAAAGCAAACCCATTCTGCAAAACAGGATTTTCAGAGATTTTCCCCCCTTCTCACTGACCCTCTGAAGTTGTATTTGGAGTGATTTTGACAATCAACCTCCATTTTTACCGCCTCCAGTGCACACCCACTCTACTGTACTTACTCTGTTGTCCAATTTAATTTGCTTAAAGGTTGTATGGAGGATTTTTTTTTTTTTTTTCAAATTGTCAGTGAAAGTTTAAATTACCATTACAGAGATGCAGCAGCTTTGTAATTATGATGACCAAAAAAAAAAAAAAAAAGAATGAAAATCTATCAACTGTGGATGTAGTGAGGCCAGATAAACATCAGCCAATAGATAACAAGGCTACCTCATTTTCTATTGGCTGTTAGGTTGTCAATCAAACTCCCTATGTTTCTAGTGTAACTGACTCGTTGGCGCGCGGGGATTACGTGGTTTATGCAGCGGTTCTTAGAGGCTTTTTCAAACTGTTGCTTCCTTGCAGTTCGCACAAAATTTGTTGAGATAGCGGACGAGAATCCACGACCAATTCGCCGCAAAAGAAAGTCAGTTTTTGAGGTCGCTGAAAGAAGAAGAGAAGGGGAAAAGGAGCAAAGTCAAACTGAGGTGATTCTTGGAGATTCCTTCCAGGGATGGCGCGACCGAAGCAGACAAAGGGTCTAAAAACTGACGCGTTGGTCACCAAATTATTTCTAGACAGGAAACTTCAACAGTAATTCTGAACGCGCACTGGCTGTAAACAAGCGTGATTTCTAGAGTAAAGAGGCAGGAAGAGATGTTTCTACTGAGGGAGCTGTGGAGGAGGAAGGTGGTGTCACGCATGCACAACATTTGAAAAAGGACTGTCTCTCTTCCCTTAAAAAATCCTCTATACAACCTTTAATCTCTGATACACACAGGATCTGGCAGCGTCGTGTGATCAGTGACACACATAGAATTTGGCAGCATTGTGTGGTCATTCCACGGTTTACTAGTGTGAGGGTGACAGCATGCTCTGTTGTGATGACGTTTACGGTGTTGGGTACTGCAGTTTTCAGAAGTCAGAAATCGTTTTAGATTAATACTCTAATTTACGATGTCAAATAATAATAATTTGCCACTGGATCAAAATGCCAAACATTTAGGAAGTCACTTCCAGGATGGGTGTGCCAGGCATCAGGGGGAAGCAAAACCCAGGGGGCCGTGCAGAAATAAGTGGAACAAATGTATCCAAAGGTGACTTGTATCAACTAGGGATGCACCATTATAGACAGTGGTATCAAATATCAGCAAAATGAGCTGAACCAGGCATCAGTTCCATGATATCCGTTCAGCCAATATCCTGGTTGGGCCTTTTATTGGCTGCAATAAGACTATTCACTAGCAATGTCTCATCATGTTTGACCTTTTCATGTAAAGCTCTTCAACACTTGTTGAATAAATAGCACAACTGGAACAATTTTGTAGTAGGCCAAGACGACTGTGTTTTGAGGGAATTAAATGCCTTGTTGGAGTATCAACAGATATCAAAAGCCAAAGTATTAATATCAGTATCGGAACTGAAAAAGCTAGATTGGTGCATCCCTAATATTAACCGACTCCAACCCATCACACAGCTCTGAGTTTGTTTAGACCTGCCTCAAACAGGATGAAGTCAGCTGTGCTTCTGCACAAATGCACACGCACAAACGCACAAGCCTCACTAGCACTAGCATGTCTCTGCAGGCCTGGAGCACCTCACATCTGAGTGAAGGACCAGTCTGAACCAACAGCACTAGGGTTGCTTCACCACATTTTACTATTTGATGTCAGTTAAGTTGGGCCATGTTTTGTTTCATGTGGTAGTACCGAAATATGGATCATGATTAACCAAAGTCTACAGTGAAATGTGACCGACTGTCCACCCCACTGTATAATGTTATGTCATGTGAACATGGCCTATTCCAAACAACTGCACTGTCTACAAGTCAGAGCAAACAAAACAGTACAGTCCCATGAAGTCACTCACAAAAAAAGGGGAAATAAAACACTGATTGATAATTGGACATGTGCTCACAGTTCAGAATGTTGAGAGCAAAACACAAAGCCACATTCATAAAGTGTTTGGAAAGGCACCTGTGTATAATGTGCAAAGACAAGAGAAGGCGGACCTCAGACTGGAGCAGGGGGACCCTCCACAGAGCCCCACAGTGCAGGCAATAGTTTAAGCATTAGCATTAGCATTAGCAAATTGCTATATGCCCATTATAGGGGTCTTGAATATATGTTCCTTTTAAGGACTGGACTTGGAGCCACCCATTTACATCCTCCCTCTTCAGTCTGTGGTCCGAGCAGAACTACATTCAGCTACAGCCTCATAGTGCAATGTGGGTGTATCCGGGGCGGGGTCCAAGGTCAGTGGGCATGGCCTGGTCGAGCTGCTCCTCCCTCCTGAAGGATCTGGTTCCATCTCTGCACAGGAAACCAAAGGAAAAGAGGTTGAGAGCACTGTGGGCCTGGATAGGACACATCCATGGATCTGTTCAAACCTCCAGACAAGCACTGCAGCTCAAACCTGTCACTCAAGCAACATTTAATATTACTAAGAGTCATTTCAAGAAAACCCTAAATGACCTGAGCCAGTGGATTGTTATATTTTTTGGGAGAGGCCCCCTATGGAATAATAATAATAATAATAACTTGTATCCGCCTCTGCACTGCACATGCACTCTGCTTTCTGACCACTGCCAGCCCACTATTTGCCGGGACTTACCTCTGTCTTTATATGTATGTATGTATGTATGTATGTATGTATGTATGTATGTGTATATATATATATATATATATATATATATATATAATATATATATATATATATATATATATATATATATATATATATATATATATATATATATATATATATATATATATATATATATATATATACATATATATATATATATATACATATATATATATATATATATATTTAAAAAAAAATGTGTTTCTCACCTTCCATGGTGGTTGGTCTCTCACCCTCATTCAGCTCGGGTCCTCTACCAGAGGCCTGGGAGCTTGAGAGTTCTGCGCAGTATCTTTGCTGTTCCCAGTACTGCACTTTTCTGGACTGAGATGTTCCATTGTTTTTCCCGGTATCTGTTGTAGCCACTCTTCCAGTTTGGGGGTTACAGCCTCGAGTGTCCGATCACCACAGGCACCACTGATGCCTTTACTTTCCAGGCTCTCTCCAGCTCTTCCTTGAGCCCCTGGTATTTCTCTAGCTTCTCGTGTTCCTTTTTCCTGATATTACCATCGCTTGGTATTGCGATGTCAACCACCACGGCTCTGCTCTGTTTCTTATCCACCACCACTATGTCTGGTTGGTTCGCCATCACCATTCTGTCAGTCTGTATCTGAAGTCCCACAGGATCTTGGCTCAGTCATTCTATATATGTGTATGTGTGTGTGTGTGTGTGTGTGTGTGTGTGTGTGTGTGTGTGTGTGTGTGTGTGTGTGTGTGTGTGTGTGTATGTATGTATGTATGTATGTATGTATGTATGTATGTATGTATTAGAGATGCGCGGATGGGCAATTTTGTCATCCGCAACCGCAACACAAAACTCATCATCTGCCCGCTGTCCATTTTGCACCGAAGGTTTTCAAAACTGCACCCGCCGCCATCCGCCGATTGATTTTAGATTTTAGAACAATCATACAGCAAACAAACTAAGGAGCCTCGATAAAAATGCAAACTCTATAGCTCATTCATTCCAAAATTCACTCAGCGTGTATGTTCACATTCTTAATTGTCCGTAACAACCCCAAACTTACCTGGTTTTCTTGCGCAGCTAATTAATTGACAACGTTTTCCGACTAGGCTATTTTTGAACCTTCTTGCCTTCGTGTTGGATGTTGTTACATTCTGAACATTCTGCCATTGCCCGATGTTATTTCAAAGTCATAGCCTCACTCCATCGGTCTTTCTTTAAGTTTTAAATCCCCCGAGTGGCAGTCTACGCTATAATGTCTGCGTGTTTTAAAATATAACTGATATCGAAACAAAATAGACAGAGCATCTCATCCAGATGAACCTTTATTGAAATCAGGCAATGCCCTCTTTATATTCCAAGTGAAATAGGCAAGAAAAAATATGCATAACTAAATAAATATGGCCCTATAGCCACTTATGTGTTGGCAAACAGCTGAAATAAACTAGAAATAATAAAATAAACTGCATATAATATGTGCCTCGTAAACCTTAGGCATCAATAACCCGACACAACCTTAACCTTCAGAACATAAGAACGAGGCCAAATGGGCTAATTAAGGATATGACGTACACTTCATACTACAAGCATAGACAATGACACTCGTCTTTTCAGATACAGGTAACAATACTAACATTTTTTTTTTTTTTTAGTAGTTAATCCGCCACCCGCCCGAATTTAATTAAAATATTATTTTTCGTCACGTCATCCGCCCGACCCGCGGATTAACCGCGGATACCGCGGTTCTAACCGCAATCCGCGCATCTCTAATATGTATGTATGGATGGATGTATATATGTATATATGTATGTACGTATATATGTATGTACGTACGCACGCACGCACGCACGTACGTACGTACGTATGTATGTATGTATGTATGTATGCATGTATGCATGTATGCATGTCTTCACTGGGTATTTTGTTCATGATGTGGGGAGCATGTGTGTCTAATTTCAATGGTCATTTTTTCCATCCCATTTAATCAAAAGCCATGCATTTCTATGACAACTGTTGGATGTTGCCATGGCAACACAGTTGCAAACAGAAGTATGTTCTCATTGGATTTTTATTCAGATCTTATTTATTGAGCTCAAAGAGCCATTTGAGAGCCTTAGCTTTTCAAATATGATATAGTTTACAACTGAACCCAACAATTGACCCCAACCTTCAGTTTCACCAATCAGCACAGGAGGGCGCACTGCATAAACTCACCTTGATCTTTTTGGACATTTTATCCTTCCATTTCTGAGCGATGGAGCCATCGATGAGCAGCAACCTGATGAAACACACACACACAACTTAAAGATATGACAGCTTAAGACGACTCATTTGGACTCCCTGAAGATCTGAAATGTTTATTGAACTTTTAATACACGATCGGATTGTTTAAGTCTAAAAACTGTCTGCACTAGAAATCAAACAGGGAAAAAGCTTTTGGCTAAAAAGACAGAACCCCCTGACTCCCCCAAAAAAGACTGTCTTGTGCCTTTTACACTATTTATATTTATTATTTATTTATACGCATGGGAGTGAGAAACACTATTCTGATTCTTTATATGTTGTTCGTATGAAGAATTGACTAACTTTTTTTTAAACTTTGAAGGACATGAAAAGCAGACACACTGGAGCCACTGCTGCGTTTGAACAATGTGGTGACAGTTATAATCACACCTGCTCCGGCTTTAATGAATTAAAAGGACCTGCACTTATTTCATTTGTTTTGTTTGTATTGTCTAAACAGGATGCTCATGAAGAGGATTCTGGTACTGTTACTGGAAATAAAGAAATTTAAAAAAAAAAAAAAAAAAAAAAAAAAGGAAATCTCCATTAAACTGTCTGTATTTTTGATGAAATGGTCCATTTGAATATCATAAGGTAGATCTACTTCCTGTATTTGTTCACTTTTCTCCAAAACATTTCCCCCACAAACTACCATTTAAAGATCCTGTATTAGGCAAAATTGGCTCTTGTGAACTTTCATCTCCAAAGCTCAAGATGCTCTGTTCCACCTAGTGAGGTCATGAAGCGCTTTAGTTCAGTAGAGATTGGCAAATTCAGAGCTGAATTATCCAAATGATTCTAGTGAAGGTGTCTAGGGTACAGTGGAGCACTTCCTATATTACTACATGACATCACAAGTTGGAACAGAGTGTTTTCTATTTGAGAGAAGAACTCAGCCTAAATGTGCAGGGTTTGTGTGTTAAACATGTGAGAATGAAACAAAACACAACTCCAGGAAACTACATACTCATATTACACTTTTTCTAATCTGTTCAAGTGAATTTTGTGTAGTAGAGGACTTTAAATAACTCCCATGGCAGTGAGCAGGGGCGTACCTGGACCTCTCCTCGCTCTCGTAGCCCATGATGAGGTACTCTTGGCCGGGCGTGAGGGGGGGGCACAGACAGGATGATGAGTAGTACAGGGTGTGGGTCTCTCGGGGGATGTTCACCAGTGAAGACTTGAGCACCTCTCGCACCTCCACCACCGCTGTGGGCTCCAGGCCGCGGTTCCTCACCTCCCGCACGCGAGCACGGATCACTGCACACACAAGCACCAGCATGTTACTACTACTACCACTACCACTACCACCACTACCACTACCACCACTACCACTACTACCACTACTACTACCCTACCCTACTAGTACTACTTCACCTCAGGAGTTACACTGAGAATGGGTCGGTTAAAGGAACTGTAAGTATCCTGTGCTCTTAGTTTTAAAAAAGGTGTTACAGTGACAATCACCACTGAACCTGTGTGTCCAGACTCTTAACCTGCAAATAGAGGACACAAATGTTTTTCTCATTCTCCAGAGCTCCACGTGTTTTTCAACTCCATACACCTTCACTAGAATCATTTGGACGATTCCAGTCATGGAATTGTCAAACTCTCTCTTACTCAAACAAGTGTGAATGAAACTAAACACAACTCCAGGTCTGTTTTTGAGCAGGTAACATTATCTTTTGGTGTATTATAGGGCCTGTAATAATGAGACAGCAGAAGGAGCAGCCCACACTGAAGTTCTCAAACGCTGTTGTTTCTCTTCATGCGACTCTGGTGATGTATTTTCCTCTGACGCCTCCACATTCCAGGCCGAGCGTGTGGTTTGGTTTCCGTGCACTTAGGGCTCGTCGGTCCGTGAACACGCCTAACAACTTTCCCTTGTTCCAATGACATGTCAATATCGAGCCAGTGGAAAACAGGGCTCAAGTGTGCAGCCAAAGGCATCAGGCTGGGATCTGTGTGGGATCTGTGTGGGATGTGCCTCATCACAGCTGAGTGGAATCTGGAAGAGCTGCAGCTCCGAGCCGCAGAACAAACCACCACCTCCGGACTTCCCCTGTCCTCCAGGAACATGTCTGACCAGGGCCGGACAGCCACATGTCCTGCGCTTCTGGCTGTGTCAACATGGAGGACTCTAACAAATCCTTTTATTTATTTTATGCAGTGTTGACTTTTCAGAGCTTTTAACCATGTCAGAGTTGTTTCCCTTCAACACTTACCCTCTGAAGTTGTATTTGTAGTGATTCGTGCATGTTTGAGTCATCTTTAATCGCTTCTTTTCAAGATGCCATTTTGGTGATCAGTTCGCTGTGACTGGTTCACATCCACTGCGACATATGCACTTCATTTTCCAATTTTATTTTCGTTTTAATCGGCAATATGTAGTCATTTTGGTACAAATGTTAAAAAATGCTCTGCTCTAGTGTGATATGCGGCTATCCACAGCAGCATGCGACGCTTTGTTGTTTGTTTATGGGAATGTCAGCTCCACTGGGCACCGCAGTTTTCTAACACAGAAGTCAATCAATATTGTAATTTAAAACTTGCAAATTATAACATAATGAATACCACTGGCCCCTCTAATCACCACCAACACTCACTTGGATACAACTTTCATATTAGGCAATAAGGGTGAAGTGTGTTGCCTAAGGACACAACAACAGTGTTTTTCTTCACGGTGGCACATGGTATCCTCAGTGGTCTCCCATCCAAGTACTAACCAGGCCTGGCCCTGCTTAGCAAGAGAGATGTGATGAGATTGGGCTTTGCTGAAGTACACTTTGATTATTGTAGCACATCAATGTGATGCACGTTTGCTGATAAAACAAAAAGAATGAAACTGCACACCCTCCCAAAAACACAAAATTCACAGAGGCCTGGAGCTCCCTAATTTCCACCTAATTTCCAAGGCTATTCTGAAGTGCCTTTGATGAAACACAACATTGTTAATTACAAATTGGGTCCAGTAGTGACAGAAACTATTTCACTATAGTGACCTGCTGAGGAACCTTACAAAACAGACTGTGGCACTCACAGTACAATTTTAATCTTAAGACAATGAGGCACATTACTTCTTTGCAAGTGAGTGAGACCTGTCCACAAGAGAGATCTGGCACTGTATCTCCATATCCTCCAGGAATCATTATCATGATCATTTTAATCAATCACTTTTTGTCCCTGAGGAAAAGATGAAGCTCACCGAGCAGTGGGAAACAAGAATACTGTAATAGAAAAGTTCAAACGTAACTCTCAGTACAGCTCAAGAGGTAGAGTCATCAGATCTTGTGTCAGAACAGTTTGAAGTGAATAACAGTCCTCAGGACAAAAGTGCCCTCTATGTCCTGCAGCATCACAGCAGCCTCAAGGGGGCGCCAGGTGAGCTCCAGGCACACAACATGAAAGCCTGTCCTAACCCTGTCCTAAGGCTCTCTCTCCACTCTGTTGTTTCACATTCCCTCTGGAATGTCTTCTGCCATATTTGGTGTAGAAAGTCTGATGCATTGTTGTAAAAAGGTCCATGCAATGTCACTATGGATACAAGAAAAACAAACTGCTCAGATCACACAGTCCAATAGTCCATTCCATAAAAGCCTGATGTCCCCTCATTATAAGTGGGAACAAGCTCTAGGCAGAGGAAAGTCAGATAACAAATCCCACCTGAATTATGTGGAGTAAATATAAGAATATGTAGCTGGTGTCCCTGGGGATGATCTGGGACAGCAGGACGAGCATTGGTTCTTGACAATCCCCATGTCAAAGCATATCTCACTAAAAATAAGATTTAGGCATTTTTATTTTATTTTATTTTTTTAAATCCAGGTGGTATTAATATAAAAGTCCTATGAAATACCAGATTTTTTTTGTTTGTTTTTAAGTAGTTTATTTAGGTTTGGAGAACAAACTGGTGCAGATTCTTCTCAGAATGGTTGATTAGATTGAAAATAAGTGGACTAAAGATTTCCATTGATGTTTTCCATGTCCATGAGATTGCGAGAGTTCCCTTTATCAGAAGGTGCAAGCACGCATGGGTCCTCAGAATGTCAAGGGCTACTAACTTCTGTCTTTGAACTATGCCTGCTGCACTTCTTGGTTGGTCAAAACCACCAAACCCCCAAAACCCCCAAGTTTAAAATGTAAGGTCAAAATGTACTGAAGAGCAACCGACCACAACCATGGCAACTATAGAAATAGAAGCTATTCTTCTCCCCAGGTACTAAACTAAATTAAAACACTTCCATCACCTCAGTGCACTCTCTGCTCCCAAAATACTGAACTGCAGTCGTTAGGAAAGACGTCACTCTCGTCTCCTGTATGTTACACAGAGCATTACCTCACCTGCCAAACACACGTGTGCTGAATGACAGTTCGGACAGGCCATTATCGGTTCGGCACAAGCGTGTGGGCTCTCAGGCCTCACTACAGCCAAACCTCTTATTGCTAACAGATGGAAAAATCTGAATCCTCTGACAAAACAAAACATGGCTTCTTGATTTCCTTGACATTGCTACATGGAAGACTGGGTCTCCCAAATACATCACGCTTAAAAAGACAACACTGTTTTATGGAAGAAACAATAGGAAAAATTAGATTTTTGCTTTACCCAGCGCAGAGGTTAAAGAGTCCTGGGTGGTGTTTGAGTTTTGATGTGTCTCTACTCCCAAAAATCAAAAAATGTAAAAACCTCAAAGAGCAGATATTATGCGAAACTGGCTTTTTAGAGCCACATTATAACACTGTTTTTCACTGAAAACATGCCTGCAGAGGTTTTAGCTGTCATCCATGCATGTTTGAGTAATTTTGTGATCTCTCCATGGGCCCTATTCAGACCATCCATATGACTAGCAGAATGATGCCATGCCACTTGTATGACTCAGCCCACAAGCCTACGTCCCCCGTGCTTCTGCACAGCCATTTTAGAAAAGTATAGAAACAGTCTACTACAACTTCACAAACCTGTTGTGATGTGCAGTAGTTTCATTAGCAGGATTAGTGTGGAGAGCAAAGGGAGGGGAGACTCAAGTGCGTCAAAAAACTGAAACTAATTCTACATGTTAATATGTCATCTGTGAATACAGCATTTTCAACACAGTCAAAGGTAACATGGTGATGTCTGTCAACACAATTACTGTTCAAATTTTAAGTTCAATTTGCAAGCTGCCACAGTAATAATGTGTAGTTACAGAGGGGGTATTTTACTTTTTTGAGGTATTAACTGTAAGACATATAGTTAGATCCCCATGTTACCTTTTATGGTTTTCAAAATGTTATATTCACCCAAAACAATGTATTAACATTTGTAAGACATTTCCCTGCCTCTATTGCGAAGGAGAAATTGAATTCTCTCAACTTGATACATTTTTTTATCAAATACATTTCACGCCTCCATCCAAGCTTCTTCAGGTTCATCTGTTCTGGTCAGACTCTGGTGGACACTTCCTTATATCTGCCTGAAGAAAGGAGCTAACTACACTGAATCTACTCTGAAACTAACACACACACTGTTGGCAGTTTCTGTTTGTTACCTCGGTCTATTGAACTACACTAAGTGTGAAGTGTGTCTGAGCCACATTAGCAGAATCGTTCAGGCCCCTGATGGGTGCTCTCATACCTCTGCGCACACAGGATATCACTATTGTTTTCTTGGTTTTGATTTGGGTCTGAGGAATTGTGTTTCTGAAAAACTACAGGATTTTCGGACAACATGAAATCTCAGTATTTTTCAAACTTATAAACACCACAAAAAAGGACAAACTACAAACACAAAGGAAGCAATGTGCTCTACTCCATTCATTGTAGCGAGGACTGGAGAGAGTTATAATGGAGAAACAAAAGAGCCACTTCATAAAACAATGTACCAACACAGACGAGAAAGCAGCAGTGGATCCGCTCAAGTCCACTAACCACTCCTTTGAAAAGAGTGAGGTACAGATCTGAGCCAGAGAAAAAAATGGTTTGAGAGACTATTTTTGTTAGGAAAAACAATCCATCTTTACACAGTTTCCACTAAGTGCAGTTCAGTAGACTGAGTTACAAACAGAAACTGTAAACAGTGTATGTGTTAGTTTCAGAGTAGTTTCAATGTAGTTAGCGCCTCCCTTCAGGCAGATATAAGAAGTGTCCACCAGCGTCTGACCACAACTGAAGAAGCAGCTTGGATGAGCTGTGAAACATATTCAATCAAAAAAACATTTGTCCAGTTGACAAAATTGAATTTCTCCTTTGCCCTGGGAGTTCATGAATGTCTTTCTATGCATCTGCGTGACTTCATTGAAAGCACCATCACAACACAATCAGCATGCCTCCCTCAAACTACTGCACATCACATCAGGTTGGCCAATGTGTTGCGTACAATTTGGTCTCATGTCTTTGTATATTTATGAAGAATTGTCATTTGGGAGAATGGGTGACGTAGTAACAGCAAAGGACCAGCTTCTGAATATAAATGAATTTGCATATCTTAATACTCTAAAATTCAAGTTTCAAAAACACCCTCCAAATGCATGGATCTGATGGAGCTGACAAAACACTTGAGTTGAACACTGCTGAAAACTGAATGTGCTTCATTCAGATCAAAACAGGTGTAACACTGACACTGAGGGTTTCCATGATGACGGGCTGAAACAGAAGACACAAAAGTGGTCGCGTCTTCACATTTTATTCCACATTTAGACACGTGTTTTCGGGAGGAAATGTGCATACATTGTTGGTCAAATATGCCCGGAGGCTCCGTCCTCCATGTGCTTGTTCCAGACAGGGGTGAGCAAGACCAGTGCGCAGTGGACCGGGTCCGAGCGGTTTCGTGCCGTCCTGGATCCATGCAGGGAAAGTGAGAATGCTCTGTGGACTGCAGGTCCGGGTGGGCTGCTGCAGTCCTTCATGCTCAAGGACCGCGTCTGGTTCTGAGGTGGTGCAAAACATCCAAACAGAAGAGCAAATCCAGTTTGGTTTGTTATATATTGTTCTGAGCGGTCTGTCCTCTGTGCACTCTGGGTTCTTCCCATGGAAAGTGCTTAACACCACTCCCTGCTCCAGCTGATCTGAGCCCAGTTTGAACTGGAGCTGCTCCCCCTGGGTCAGGAGTCTTGGCTAAAAGCAGGGCATTTTTGAAGTTGAATCAATTGAATAGGCTATTGCCTATTGCCATAAAATTATTTGCTTAATTAATAGCCTAAAATAACAAATGCTGGTTGCTATATGAACACGGGGAACATCAGGACCTCTCTGTGCACGCACCATTGACTGTCTCTCCAGGTTTGGTCCATAGTGTCTGACTCGCCTGCGACGATCTGGTGCATCCAGAATTTAACAGAGGTAATTACAGATCCTTTCTGTTCATTAATAGTATCTCTGCAGATTCTCTACATTTGTTGGGACGTCTGTTTCTGTGTGCTGTATGTATGTGACATAAACGTGTACACGACCTGAGCACATCTGTACAGAGTTTTGTGTCTTGGGCAGTGTAGACGGAAACTCTACGGCGGAGCCTATTCAACTTTTCCACTCTGGAGGGTGGTTTCAGATTTTTGCATTTTTAAGCCCCAAAAACACTGTTACCATTTAAATGAAAGGCACTTCCCATAAAATATTTTGTAGTTTTTACCCACAAGTGTTCTCATGTAAACAGACCCTTAGATCATTATATTACTGCCTGAAGGCTCATGGGGTTGACAAAAAGATGGGACACTATTTTGAACAGCTGAGTTTTGTGGAAAAAATATTTACAAAACTTGATATTTGAAGAATCCCTCAGTTGTCCAGGTAGAATCCATGGCGAGGAGAAAATTCAGTTTGTCAGCATGACACAACATGAGATCCCGGTCTATTTCAAAACTGCAAACACTCTAAAACAGAAACTGGTCCACCCAAAGGACAAAACACAGAGTCACAAACAAAGCAATGTGCTCTACTCCATTCAGTGTAGTGAAGACTGCAGTGAACGCTACTCTGGAGAAACTAAACTAAGCTACTTCACAAGAGGATGAACCAACACAGACGAGAGAGCAGCAGTGGACCTCAGTCTGCTGTACATCTCCACTTAAAAGCCACAGGCCACTCATTTGAGGACAGTGAGCTACAGATTTTAGCCAGAGAAAAGAACTGGTTTGAGAGGGGAATGAAAGAAGCCATTTTTATTAAGAAAGAGAATCCTTCTCTAAACAGAAATGGAGACTCAGACACCATCTGTCTCCTATTTACAACTCCATCCTCAAACCTAAATCAAAACAAACAAGAGAGCAACAGGTGTATCCATGTCAGGTCCAGAGGTGTGGAAGCTCCATTATGGCCATGAATGGTTCTGCTAATTAAACCCTCTGTACAGGTCAACAGGCCCAACTAACAAACAGAAACTGTAAACAAGTGTTTGTGTTAGTTTCAGTGTAGTTAGCTCCTCCCTGCAGATATAAGGAAGTGTCCACCAGCATCTGACCAAAACTGAAGAAGCAGCTTGGATGAGCTGAGACACGTCTTCAACCAAACTCACTTTTGTCCAGTCGACAAACTGAATTTTCTCCTCGCCACAAAACTTGATATTATGCATTATTTTTTATATTTAAAGCCTAAGACAGACATATTGTGTGTGTGTGTGTGTGTGTGTGTGTGTGTGCGTGCTCACTAGTTGTAATCTCTGACCCCTGTCATTATGTTGTAATTTGGACATTTTCGCAATATTATTCTAAAATAGCTTAATTAAAGAAACAAGTCCGCTGACTTCTGTGTTAGAAAACTGCGGCGCCAATGGGAGCTGACGTTGCCATAAATAAAAATCATGACAGCAAAGCGCCTCCTATGGATAACTGCACATCACACTAGCCAGTATAGATTTTTTTGTTTTATCCTGTTCGTACTAAAATGACCTATGTCCTATGTGTATGACCAGTTAAGAAAATTCAATTGGAGAATAAAGTAAGTACAGATCAGTGGCTGTGCACTGGTAGCAGTAAAAAGTTTAAATTGCCCAAACATGTTCTAAATACAAGTTTGAGAGGGTAAAGGAGAAGGAAACACCTCTGAAAAGTTGATTTTGGAGAATAGGTTTGCTGTAATATAGAAGTTTCCCCTGGTGCTGACATTGTGCAGCGTATAAATCAAAGATTACAACACATCAGATGTTTTCATGTGTGTGCAGCGTAAGCAGAGCACTCTTCTATAACCACAACCAGGCCCATCTCTGTGAAGACATGGATAAGTAACTGTGTGTTTACCACAGCAAAACACCCACATGAGCTCATTGTTAGTACATCTGTACATTACATCAATCAGTGATCCAAACTGCCACTCTGTTCCAACGGATGTCACCAATGTAACATTCATTATGGCATTTAAAGCAGACCTACTCTACAAAATGGACTTTTCAGAGATTTGAAACATGTTGTGGGCGTTTTCCCTCATCGCTGACCCTCTGAAGTTGTATTTGGAGTGATTTGTGCATGTTGGAGTCATCTTTAAATCGCTTATTTTCCTAATTTGTCTGTTCTACTGTTCAACTGGTACAATCCACTGTGACGTGTGCACTTCCTTCTCATATTTTATTAATCAGTGATACATGTACGATTCATTAGTGTTGGGTAATCATTTTGGAACAAATGAAAAACAAAAGCTTCCTAGCGTGATCTGCAACTATCCCTGTTGTGATGATGTTTATGGAGATAACATCTCCCATCGGACACCAGAGTTTTCTAAGGCTGAAGTCAGCTTGTTTGCTTTATTAAGACATTTTAAATGAGTATTGTGTCATAGATTACTATGCTATAACTCTAGAGCAGACACAAGCACAATAGGTCTGCTTTAAAGTTTAACATTTTTCATACTAGTTTTATGACAGCCTTGTTCTTTTTGTCCCTTTTGCCTCACCGTAGTTGTAGTTGTTCTTCAGGTAGGTTTTCTGTCCCATGCGCACATTTTTACACTTGCAGCGTTCTAAGGCAGACACAAAAACATGGAGTCATCCTTAATGAATGAACCCAAAAAACATTCAACAGAGATCTTCAAGAGGAACAGCTGATGGCTCATGGAGGTCAGTTAAATACAAGGGGGTGGAGGGAGAGTGGGTGCAGGGGTAAGGAGTGAGAGGGTGGAGGTGAGGTCCTGAGGTCTTACCTGAGCTCGGGCCTCTGCAGCGCAGGTTCTTGGAGTCCAGAGGGAAGTCCGGACTGGTCTCTGGAGGAACAGCAGATGAATTACATCATCAACACCACCGTTCTCTTAACATACTGAAGCTTGTCATTTTTCCAGCCTCTTTTTTATGTCCACAAGTCCCGAGAAAAAGTCTGAGCTCAATGCTAAAACAAGTGTGGCCCCTCTCTGTTAGTGCTGCTGTCAGGCTCTTCATTCTGACCTTCAAATGTAGGTCTGAACCGGTTCTACATGATCCTGGTTTTTTTACTTCACTATGTTGTCCCTACATCAAGATCTGAACATAAATAACAGACCAATCAGAAGCACCCGGCCCCTGCAAAAGGGGAGGGCTGTTATCTTCAACAGCCTCACTCCTCTTTGGTTGCTACGATATTCTCTGTCAGAATTCAAAATATGGAAATCAACTTCAAATTCTCATCTATAACTGCAAGTCTCGATGAGCTTCATTTGGAGTCAAATGCTATGAGCAATGTCACACTCAGTCCACTTGATACTTTATACAGGTTATGCTCAGTACACACATCACTACTACAGGGCAGTCGTCCTTCCACAGCTACAGAAGTACACAAAAGTGCACATGAGTGTACACAAGTATACACAGGGATCAGAGGAAGCTGGTGGACTTGTGCTGTCATTTCTAAATGATTGACTTTTGTTCTAGATTATACTCATATCCAGAAGAAAACAGTCCCATAAATTCAAACAGAGAAGAGAAGTCATTAAATAAAATGTATTTAGTCGGAACGTAATAATATCCAAATGTCACTGTTCAATATTCGCTATGAACCTCGCACTACCGGGATACTATACGATATTGTGGGAATGCTCATGGTTTTATGAAGACTGATATCGGTTTTACACTTACAATAATAAGCATAATGACCATATATTAATTTGTCTTCATTTTTTGCAGTGGTTCTGCAGAGGACCTTGTATTGTTGTAACGCAGCACTGTTGCTCTGAAGGCTTTCAGCTTGAACTGGACTTTATTTTTGATGAATTTGTGAAACTGTCATTTTCCCTAGTGAGTCCTCACAGTGCTTATATTTCCTGAGGATATTTTAATAGATCCTTGGGATACAGATGTTCTGTCTCAGCAGAGCTAGTGCTGCTCCTGCGCTGTTCATCTCCTTCACTCCTTTTCTCTGTTCACGTTTGTCATCTTGGCCAAACCAAAATGCACATATGTCTTAAAAGCAGTGGCAGAGTCTCTGCTCCACTTTCCTCTTCATTCATTTTCCCTTCTTCTCAAAGCCGCCATCCGTGTGCTGCTGTGTTATTGTTGTTGACCTGAGTGTGAAAAGCATGCAGCTTCTGATCCTAATGACTCAAACACGGTGCAAAGGACAAATGATAAGGGATGATGATACAGGATGGTATTTAGTCGTCTTAATTTTTCATCTGACACAAACTCAAAACTATTATTTTGGGCACAAATATGCTGAATATACATGCGCTTTAATACCGAAAAGAGACCACTATGATTGACTGATGAGCATTAGTGTTATTGTTTTTGTCCCTATGAGAGCTAAAACATGTAAACATCATGATCCATGTATTGAGATTTATTTGAACAGATTCTTTTTTCAGACCAGACTTGAGTTTGTTTTCATACTTGACAGTTTGGACTGTTCACTAGTGGTCTTTGTCAGAGTGTTCACATGATGTTGCTGTGACGTATCTGCTCATCTGATTGAAACATGGTTTGGCACAGTCTTCCTACTAGTGAAGGCAGGACCACAGCTCCATCTGCAGTTCCATTTTTTCAGGACAGTATCACAGGTGTGTGAGAGTAAATAGGGCCCCTTGTCTCAGCTTATAGTCCTGTGGGCATGTGTCACTATTTCAATCTCCTCCTTAATCCAGCGATGCAGGGCATTATGTGTGTGCTTCAGTTCTATTTGAGCTTTTGGTGGACGAGGAATTGCCTGCTTGAGTTTTCTATACAGAGTAAAAAAATGGGGCTGCAGATGGCGCTGTCGTCCTGCCCCCACTGGTATGAAGAAAGCTCCAAAACCAGTTTAAATGAGCTGAGCAGACATGTCACAGGCACATCACATGACCACTCTGAGGAAGTCCACTAGAGAGCACTTCAAATGTCAGGCATGAAAACAAACTAAACTTTTACCTGAAAAAAGAATCCATTAAAATATGACTGGAAGACCAAATGAGCATCACTGGACATGATTAAGACATTGTAAGAAAATATAGTGACTACACAATGAGAACAGAGGCAAACTCAGAGCCCAGACTCTGTGCTGTGGGGATGGTGCAAGAACACTGGACTGTACCTGGATTGCAGCGAGCTGGGTCCTGATAGTACGAGTCTGTAAACAGAGGCAAATTTAGTTTATGTGATGACAGCAGTAAGGCTCGAGCATGTGGCCAGGCCCAGGACCAACTATTTATCTGAGCTAGAAAATCATATGTGACATGTCTGCATGAACATATGAAGAATACAGTGCAAAAACAAGTGCCATTTTAAAAAGTCAGCAGGGGCTTGAGGTTTACTCTTTGTATAGCAATGTATTGAAAAGTCAAATGATTCTCTCTCATATATATATATATATATATATATATATATATATATATATATATATTTTATTTATTTTTTTCCCCAAAAAGGGCATATTCACATCTCTCTGTAGAGTACCACATTTATCATGATTTTTGTGGAGGCTAACACTATTGTGAATATGACACTTTTTCCTTTAATTATGCCTTGAAATAATTTCTCCTCTGTCATAATCCAAAAGAACTACACTTAAACAATGGTTCATGGTCTATGTAGTTCTCCCGTTATTTTAATCTCATGTTGCACCATAACAGTGAATTTAAGCAAAGGCCCTTAATTCAATATACTGTGATGGCCCACGATGTTAGTGTGAGACTTTTGCTGATACAATATCACAATGGTTCAGTTACTGTACATCCCTGTCATGTGTGGTTACCTGAGTGGTTACCTGAGAGGACCTACCTGAGCTGTCAGCCTTGACGATGGCTTCGGGGGAGATGCACACTCCGCGCTCGTACAGGGGCAGCTCAGCACAGCTCAGGCTGTCAGGCCAGCTGTGGTTGTAACGCCTCATGACGGGCTCACAGCCAGCCTTGGCGCGCTCGCACACCGCCTTACACGGCTTTATGGGCTCATGCTGGAAGTCGATGGTGCAGATGGGAGCGTACATGGCACACAGGAAGAACAGCAGGTCTGGACTGCACCCAGTGCCTGGACACAAGAGCGGTCAGAGTTAACTGTGGAGCAGTACAAGTCCTGGATATTTGGAAATCTGAGCACGAAACCAAAGAGCCAATCAGGATGTTGAAGGTACACTCCACCTCACACTTGCACTGTTAATTTGGCAAGGGGCGGGTACTTACTAACGAGACTGTCAATCAAACCTGTTGCTAGTGGAGAGGGAGGGACGTCAGAATAAACAGGCACTGGATTGGTCTGATATTAAAGGGACAGTCGGGAATTTTGGACATAGGACCTCATTTCCTCGTGATCCAGAGTGTTGGAGACGTGTGGAGACACTTTTTGAAATATTCCATCCAGTCCTTGTATTTGCAGAGGTCACTGGTGCTAGACTAGTGTATGTTAATGGTCGTAGTTCTCCTGCTACTAAAAATGAGGTCCTATGTCCAAAATTCTAAATTGTCCCTTTAATGTACAACAACAAAATAGTAAAATATGAGTATTTTAAGACAAAAATAAGGAGTCTCAAAGCAGTGGTTACAGAGAGAGGGGTGAAGATCATTTGTGCCACAGTAACATACTTGAAGCTCTGGGTTAAAGGCAAAGTGAGGTACACTTTACTGTGACTCAAAGTAAGCTTGTTCTCATGTTTGACCCATCCTCTGCACTTGACTCTACCTTCAGAGCAAAGAGCATATGTCCAGGGACCCATTTCCAGTCACAGGTCTGTCAAATGCTTTTGTCTGCCTTTCTGTTTTCATCTAGACCAAACCAGGCCAAGTTACAGGTCAGGGCCTCATTTATAAAGCTCATTTCACGAGCAAGTGAATAATTTATTATTGATAATGTACAAGGAGATGACTGGGTTGAGACTCTAGGTGATAGCTCCATCTCAATCTTCATTTGGCTCAGTCAGAAGAGGACCCCACTGATAGGCGTCTTACGGCTAAAAGACGAACAAGATAGGGGGTGGGAGGGTGGGGTCGAGTTAGCCGAGACAAACTGGGATGATGGGAAAGGCTGCTACAAATAGGCTTCTGGGAAATTAGAGATGTGGTCGAAGTGAGTTCTGGTTCACTGGTGAGAAGAGAGGGCGGTCGAGGTGTGGTCCTGCTCCTGAATCTAAACTTAATCATATTAACTACACTTAGTGACACTTATGGAGAGGAGCAGAAGTGAAGAGAGTTTGAGGAAGAGTTTGATCAGGTAATCATCAGAAAATTCATGTATATAAAAGAATAAGAACATTCAGTTTTGTGCATTGTAAACACTGCCGAACAACTGAAGAAACCGATGGATCCGTGCGCGGGTGTCACCTGGCGGCCACGCGCAGTGGTACGTACGGAGAGAAAATAGCGCCAAGCGATTATGAGGGCTGACTTTTTAGAGGACGATGGTTTTGTGATGCAAATGTATCACTCTTTTGAACACATATTGCTTTGAGAAGAAAAACGCTTTAGTATACAGTCCCCACACAATTTGCCGAACTACTTTCCTCAGCACCAAAACCGGCCAGTATCTCAGCTCACCGGACGCTTTCGGGGGGTAAGTTGGTGTGGATGCACAACACTGATGATGGGGATGCCATACAGGTTTATGTCAAAAAATCCAAACTATCCCTTTAAGCAGAGGTTAAAACACAGAGAAGGGCTGCTTATTCCACTCATTATTCTCTTCAATATTATACATTTGAAGCAGCACGCTCTCGTGCATGAGCGTGTGCACTTTCCCAGTGCAGCTCAGGGTCTCCCACAGTCCACGCTGTGACCATAGACTTCTACAGAACACAGTCTGTGGCTGAGACACAGAAGACGAAATAATGACCGAACCTGAGAGAAAACTCTTCCCTCAGAGGAGCACAGGAGCCAGGCTTTGGTTTAATGAAGCACTTCGACTTAACGCAACTTCAACAATGAGTGACCAGAGTCTGCGCACGAAACAAAGCCGACTGACTGAACCTGACCCAACTCAAAATATCCCCTTCATTTTTGTGTAATGGGGAGCGCCTGCAAATGAGAGCTTACTTTTAAGGACTTCCCCTGTGCCCGTCCCAACCCAGGCCCATGCACACAGAGGTCAGAAACAGGCCCACGCACACAGAGGTCAGAAACAGGCCCACGCACACAGAGGTCAGAAACAGGCCCACGCACACAGAGGTCAGAAACAGGCCCACGCACACAGAGGTCAGAAACAGGCCCACGCACACAGAGGTCAGAAACAGGCCCACGCACACAGAGGTCAGAAACAGGCCCACGCACACAGAGGTCAGAAACAGGCCCACGCACACAGAGGTCAGAAACAGGCCCACGCACACAGAGGTCAGAAACAGGCCAGCACACAGAGGTCAGAAACAGGCCACGCACACAGAGGTCAGAAACAGGCCCACGCACACAGAGGTCAGAAACAGGCCCACGCACACAGAGGTCAGAAACAGGCCCACGCACACAGAGGTCAGAAACAGGCCCACGCACACAGAGGTCAGAAACAGGCCACGCACACAGAGGTCAGAAACAGGCCCACGCACACAGAGGTCAGAAACAGGCCCACGCACACAGAGGTCAGAAACAGGCCCACGCACACAGAGGTCAAAAACAGGCCCACGCACACAGAGGTCAGAAACAGGCCCACGCACACAGAGGTCAAAAACAGGCCCACGCACACAGAGGTCAGAAACAGGCCCACGCACACAGAGGTCAAAAACAGGCCCACACACACAGAGGTCAGACCCAGGCCCACGCACACAGATGAGCAGAGTGTGAATGTTCCGTGTGGACTTTTATTGGCAGAATAACAGCATCTGATCTGTGTCTGATGTGCTTCATACTAAATCTGTGTTCTACCTGCTGAAGTGCTCGTCTCCTGGCCGCTGATCCCTCCCTTGCTCCTTTCACTCTCCCAGGGAGGGCATCTGAATCTCTTGCACGAGCTCATATCCCCCTTCTTTGACCATTCAGACCCCCACGTGCATGTATATACTAGTATATGTGCAGAAATAGGGCCAGACCTTGTGTAAGTGTTTGACGTGATGGCGTGGTGCTGCGTGGAGCGTCGTCCTCCCTCCCAGTCTCACGTGTCTCGGTCAGACCCAGTGATTATTGGCTCATGTTTAGGGAAATGTCATTCACGAGTCACTTTGCACTTTTAATTTTGAGGTGGAGGTGTGAAGAGAGCGTGACGTGACGCGTGTTTACGTGCTCAGATTGTAGCTGCAGGTGGATCTTTGAAACACAGACTGCGTGGTTGTTTGTGTGCCGTACGCCTCTGGTGACCACTAGGAGGCACTGGCTCAGGGAAATTCCTGTGTGATACTTTATAAATGAGGCCCCTGATCTGTGGAGAGGTGATCCTGCTCAGTCAGTCTGTTTTTCTAGGTATTTTTGAGCTATAAAATCACATGTAATTGAATAAATGTAAGGTAGCGCTGTTTAATGTCACACTGTGGAACATTCCAGACAGAGAAGTGACATCTCTATAGAAACAAGCAGGGGACGGACTCTCAACCAAAAAGTTCCAGAGTGCACCTAAGATGATGGAGACATGTTCGTGGTCACTAGAGGAGCCTGTAAACAAGAGGTGGGAGCGAGTTACATGTACTATCTTAAATAAAAGCCTACTTACTTCTACTAAGAATACTTGGATTCAAGTACATTTGAAAGCTTTTTGGGCTCAGCATTTCTTGCCCCTTTCATTCTGATAAGTCTTAGTTTTTACTTGTGTACTCCTTTAGAGATGTCCATATGTATGCATCATTTATAGTTTTGTTGGTCGGCTGGCACTCCAGCTCGAGTCACATCCAAACAGTTATTCAGTGTCGGCACTGTGGCCTACATTTGCCAAATACTTTTTAAAAGGCCAATATTACTCTATTTTCTGATCTATGCTACAGTGGAGTAATCACAAACTGACCTGCACTTCTGTTTTGTTTCATTCACACAGGTTAAACACACAACCCCTGCACATTTACACTGCGTTCTTCTCAAATTGAAAACACTCTGTTCCACCTTGTGATGTCACGTGGCCCCATAGAAGGGCTCTATTGTGTTTTTAAACGTCTTCACTAGAGTCATTTGGATGACTTCAGCCCTTAAGCTCTGTTCAATCTTGTGGAACAGAGTATTTGGAGCTTTGGAGATGTAGTCAGACTCATAATAAAGAGTTACTCAAACATGTGTGAATGAAACAAACACAACTCCAGGTCTGTTTTTGAGAAGGGAACAACTTTCTTATATTAAAGCTCTTTGTGTAATATAGGACCGTTAAATCTACTGGAGTCATTTTATACAACTTTAACTTCTACTTCAGTAATATTATATTAAAATCAAATTCACATTTATTTACTGGTGCACCTCTGATGCTAAACTTTTAGAGTGCTTGGATTCATTTGTCACAGTGTGGGAGCTAATCTCTGTACACGCACACATCATGGGGACCTGCCTCTCTTATGGAGACTTAAATCAGGTCCATGTGATGTAAAATCTTTAGATCAACAACATGTTTCAAAGGTCCAATATTACACAATCTGGCATTATAACATAGATCAGAAAATGGTGTCATATGGGCCCATTAAAGTTCACACATGGGTCACAGTGGCTTTAGGTGAAGGTTTAGGTGAAGGTTTAGGTGAAGGTTTAGGTGAAGGTTTAGGTGAAGTCATGAGACTGGTCTCCAGGAAATTAATGTAAGTCAATATAAAGTTCCCAAGAAGCATGAAAAACTCACATGCGCATGTGTTTGAGTTTGTGTGCGTGCGTGGGTGCGTGGGTGTGCGTGCGTGCGTGCTTGCGTGTGTGTATGCGGAACGTGGCTCTCCGTTGTGCTGCGCCTCTATCAGTGCACACATGGGCCCCGGAGCCACCGATAACACACTTAACAATCCACAGTTTCCAAATGGCACCAAAAGGACACAAACCCCCTGAAGTGGCAAAAGTGAATTCAAAAGATAAGAACCTGAATGAACAAACGCAAATACCTCAAACTGTACAGGTCTATACAAGAACTTTTCCTGGACTAAACCGAGGCACTTCACTCTGAGCGGAACTGAGCGTCCCAGGAGCCCACACAATGAAAACACCTGCTTCATCCACATTTCATTTACCACACAAATCTAGAGTTCATGACAAACATGATTAATCATGTATGAGACACGAGTTCCAGAGCAGACGTCACTCGCCTACAGCTGAACCGGACCACGGCCCGCGGGCCCCGGGTTCTACTCACCCAGCAGCCCCTCGAACTGCTCGATAGCCAGCACGGCGTTGTCCTGCGTGCTGTGGTGCAGGTGGTTGGGCATCTTGGTCATGTTCCAGGGCATAGCGCGGCACAGCGGAATGCGCACGGGCTCACAGGCGGCGGCGCGCACCGCCAAGGGACGCGCGATCACGAACGCGGCCAGCGCGGCCACCGCGAGCGCGAGGAGGGACGCCATGAACGGACGGAGACTGCAGCTGTTCCTCCGGAGCAACGTGAACTTTAGTGAACGGAGAGCAGCCCGGAGCAGAGCCTGGAGCAGAGCAGGAGGGACCGGGGCGGAGCACAAGCCACGCCCCGCTCCAACTCCTCTGCTGCGGTTTAAAGAACCACTATCTGAGGCTCCAGCGGTGCCACGGCCGTGTGTAGGCGGCCAGAGCGGCGCGCTGAGCCGTGTCAAGTGCTCTCATGTCCGGTCACGCCACACAGCTCACTGCGCTCCGCACTGGCTCTTTGAGTCGTGGCTCAGCGTGACGTCACTACAGACTGTGGTTCCCGTGATTTGGGATGGGTGATGACCCCTGACCCCGGCGGGCGCGTTCACGCGGAGGGTTCCCCGTTCGGTTTGAGCGCGCGCTAAACACGGTGAGTCACGCGCAGCGCCGCGGCCTGAATCAGCACTTTCCGACTCCTCAGCCGCGCGCCCCCCCCCCTGTCTCTTGTTCTCTCTCTTGTTCTCTCTTCTCTCCCACTCTTGTCCTCCACGTCTCTCTCCTTCTCCTGTCCTCCCGCCTCACTCCTCTCCTCCCTGTCTCCTCTCCTCCTCCACCTATTCTCATTCTTCTCCCCTCCTCCTGTCTTCCTTCTTCCACCCTCTCCTCTCCCCTCCTCCTTTTCCCCTCTCTCCTCTCCTTCCTTCTGTCTCTCCTCCTCCTGTCCTCCTCCTCCCCTTCCTTCCTTCTGTCCCTCCTGAGGCCTGAGGTTTGTTTCTCTGGAAGTGGAGTGCGTTGGTGTAAAGTGCTGCGGTTCAGAGAGGAAACTCCCCTGAACCTCGCCAAAGCCAATAATGCTGTCCAAATGTGTCCAAAAGTGTCCTCTACTGTCCAAATACTGCCTTCTATTGTCCAAAGAATGTCCTTTGTCCTCCTGCTTTCCAAAAAGTCTCACCCTACTGCCAGAGAGTGTCCTCCTACTGTCCAAAGAGTGTCGTTTACCTTCCAATTGTCCAAACAGTTTCCTCTACTGTCCAAAAAGTGTCCCATATGGTCAAAAAGTGTCCTCTACTGTCCAAAAAGTGTCCTCTACTGTCCAAAAAGTGTCCTCTACTGTCCAAAAATCCACCAATTGTCCAAAAAGTGTCCTCTGTCCCCTGTAGTCCACTGAAGTGTCCTCTGTCCCCTGTAGTCCAGTGACGTGTCCTCTGTCCTTCTGTAGTCCACTGAAGTGTCCTCTGTCCCTTGTAGCCCGGTGAAGTGTCCTCTGTCCCCTTGTAGTCCAGTGAAGTGTCCTCTGTCCCTTGTAGTCCGGTGAAGTGTCCTCTGTCCTTCTGTAGTCCAGTGAAGTGTCCTCTGTCCCTTGTAGTCCGGTGAAGTGTCCTCTGTCCCTTGTAGTCCGGTGAAGTGTCCTCTGTCCCCTTGTAGTCCAGTGAAGTGTCCTCTGTCCCTTGTAGTCCGCTGAAGTGTCCTCTGTCCCTTGTAGTCTGCTGAAGTGTCCTCTGTCCTTCTGTAGTCCAGTGAAGTGTCCTCTGTCCCTTGTAGTCCGGTGAAGTGTCCTCTGTCCCTTGTAGCCCGGTGAAGTGTCCTCTGTCCCCTGTAGTCCAGTGAAGTGTCCTCTGTCCCTTGTAGTCCAGTGAAGTGTCCTCTGTCCCTTGTAGTCCACTGAAGTGTCCTCTGTCCCCTGTAGTCCACTGAAGTGTCCTCTGTCCCCTGTAGTCCACTGAAGTGTCCTCTGTCCTTCTGTAGTCCAGTGAAGTGTCCTCTGTCCCCTGTAGTCCACTGAAGTGTCCTCTGTCCCCTGTAGTCCACTGAAGTGTCCTCTGTCCCCTGTAGTCCAGTGAAGTGTCCTCTGTCCTTCTGTAGTCCAGTGAAGTGTCCTCTGTCCCTTGTAGTCCAGTGAAGTGTCCTCTGTCCTTCTGTAGTCCAGTGAAGTGTCCTCTGTCCCCTGTAGTCCAGTGAAGTGTCCTCTGTCCCCTGTAGTCCAGTGAAGTGTCCTTCTGTCCCTTGTAGTCCAGCGAAGTGTCCTCTGTCCCCTGTAGTCCAGTGAAGTGTCCTCTGTCCTTCTGTAGTCCGGTGAAGTGTCCTCTGTCCCCTGTAGTCCAGTGAAGTGTCCTCTGTCCTTCTGTAGTCCGGTGAAGTGTCCTCTGTCCCTTGTAGTCCAGTGAAGTGTCCTATGTCCCCTGTAGCCCGGTGAAGTGTCCTCTGTCCCTTGTAGTCCAGTGAAGTGTCCTTCTGTCCCTTGTAGTCCACTGAAGTGTCCTCTGTCCCTTGTAGTCCAGTGAAGTGTCCTTCTGTCCCTTGTAGTCCACTGAAGTGTCCTCTGTCCCTTGTAGTCTGCTGAAGTGTCCTCTGTCCCCTGTAGCCCGGTGAAGTGTCCTCTGTCCCTTGTAGTCCAGTGAAGTGTCCTCTGTCCCCTGTAGCCCGGTGAAGTGTCCTCTGTCCCCTGTAGTCCAGTGAAGTGTCCCCTGTCCCTTGTAGTCCGCTGAAATGTCCTCCTTCCTTCTGTAGTCCAGTGAAGTGTCCTCTGTCCTTCTGTAGTCCGGTGAAGTGTCCTTCTGTCCCTTGTAGTCCAGTGAAGTGTCCTCTGTCCTTCTGTAGTCCAGTGAAGTGTCCTCTGACCTTCTGTAGTCCAGTGAAGTGTCCTCTGACCTTCTGTAGTCCGGTGAAGTGTCCTCTGTCCCCTGTAGTCCGGTGAAGTGTCCTCTGTCTCACATGGGTCTGACTTTAGTGGTTCTCTGCTTCCCTCTCCTGGACACTGTTGTAAACTACAGCGCTGCAGAGTCACTGAATTCCTTTGTATTTCTTACTTTAGGAAATTGTAGATTTTAATAGTTTGGAAAATCCATGATGACTTGATAATTAAAGCCACAGTGTGTAACTTTTTAACAAAAAATCAACCGAAATAAAAGCGTATGATTTTTCTTTTGTTGCTGTTTTTATTGACTGAACTCAGAAAAACGGTGTCCTTACTGTGAGTACATGTTTTCGTGTACTGTACATGTTTTCGTGTACTGTACATGTTTTCGTGTACTGTACATGTGTCATACAGTGTGTAACTTTCTGATGATTGATGATCAGTCATCAGAAGGTTACACACTGTACCTTTAAGTAAATCTGATATTTCCTACAAATAAAATAAATCGGGACTAGAGCCTGAAACAGAACTAAGCCAGAACTGGAGGTGAGTAGTACTCAGTTACTTTTACTTTTCAGAATGTTTTTAGCAGCACTTTTACTTCTACTCAGTAGGGTGGTCCATCAAAACATGTTAAAAAATAAAGTTTCAGATAAGCTTGATTAGAACCCTGCTTTAGGTTTTAGTGTCCAAAAGATGATTTAAGAAGAACTTTGGAAGAAAAAGGGGAAGTTTTAGAGGCTGCTCAAGCTCCAAGTTTCCTGGAAATGAACTAATTTTGCATTTTCAACATTGTTAAGCACACTACTTAAAAGTAATTAGTTATAATTACTAGTTACTTCACCCAAAAAGTAACTGCATTACTCCACTATAAAAGTAACTAGTTACCAGGGAAAGTAACTATTGCACTCACACTAGGACTTTAGAACCGTGCCGGGCTCAAACTTAAGTGAAGAAATGTTTGTCCTGGCATTCATCCACTCCAGTGTGACAGAAGAACAGAAGAAGCTGATGCTTCACAATATGATGGAAAAGGAAGGTTCATGATGCCCTTAATCAAGTAGATTATGAAGGAGCAGATCAGTGAGTTTGTCACCGCCTGTGTTTCTTCAAAGCTCTTGATCTTCCAAAAGTCATTTTGAACAGTTCCTGCAGCAGACTGGGCTGATGATCAGAAGCTGCTAAAACTGTGCATTCCAGGAAAATGTCCATGATGTTGCTGAAAGGAGGTGAAGCTTATTCAAGATTTGAACTGCAGAACAAAGAATGAAGATCAGAAACAGGATCTACTGTAGTCTAAGACACATGAGCATCTTTAGTGACAAAGCCAACAAAGCCACAGTGGAGCTGGACTTTATGTCACTTTTTTATGGACTTTCATTTTTATGCAAGTTTCAGTTTGAGTTTGCAGAATAAAATGACAAATTATTGAAATATGTCTTATTTCTTCAGTTCTGTTACAGTTTAGGTCCTACAGGGCAATTGTCAAGTGTCTTCAGCTCCTCTAAATATGAATTAATTTGCATAAATAATAATATATAATATTATATATATATATATAATATTTTTGGCCAGATATGGAACCAAATGCAGGGTTCTAATCCAAAGAATTAAAAAAAACTTTTTTTGGACCACCCTACTACTCAAGTCACATTTTTAATGAAATAAAAGTACTTTTACTTAAGTAAAAGTTATGGTTCCTCTTCCCACTGTGAGAAATAATTTGTTGATTTGTGTTTCTTGCAGCTTCTTCAGATATGATTAAGTTTGTCTCATTTTTGTGTCTGTGTTTTGAAAAGAGCACATATTGTGCATGATTTAATGTTTCTCTAATTACATTAACTTGATTCATTATAAATCAGAGGTCAAGTCCTGACAGTCACTCTTTAAGTGACTTGAGTCGTAGTTTTGATAAATACTTCTTCTTCTGACTTCAGTAGCTTCTGTTTTCAGTCATTTCTTGGGCCACTTTGTACTTCTACTTGAGTACTTCATATGATTTTGAAGTAACGTTACTCTTACTCTGATCATTGAACTACCAAGTTTTGTGTGGTGAGATGAGCAGCCAGCAGAGGGCGCTGTACACTTCGGTCAGTTTTATTGAATCAGACAAACGGCGCTTTACTTCATGACTCTTTAATAGATCTGCATGTTTCTTACAATAATACAGAGAGCTGTACACATCCTCCGGCACACGCTACACGCCAGTATCCACGGTAACCACAGTGTCCACAGTGCCAGTCCCCTTCTCACCCCTCCTGATGTGAGATGTGACACGCCCTCAGTGAGGACCAATCACCTGTGACTGGAGGGGGCAGGACGTTTGGTGTGACTTGCCCAAGGACACACAGGCAGTGTTCAACTACATCCATAAGTGATTAAACTGGAATGATTCATGTAAAATAAAGATTTGCTCACAGGATTTCATTTCAAGAGGGAGTATTTTTTGACTATGGTGTTCAATGCTAACACAGAACATATTTAGATCACAATGTTCCTTTTATTGTTTTGAAAAGGCCAAATTCATCAGAAACACATTAGCATGTTTTATACGTTTCAGTTTTATTTTGTCAAGTTTTGTTTTTGTCAAGTTATAGTGTATTGTTTTGTGTCCTGCTTTTGTATATTGATGGAGCATTGTCGTGTGGGAGCATGGCTACTGATAATCCTAAAGACAGAACAGAGTCCATGGAGACATCGCAAAATGTCTCAGACATGCATGGACAACATCGAACACCTCTTCAGTATGTTTTTGATTAGGGAACAATGTTATAACATGACGTTATAACATGACATTATAACATGATGTTATAACATGACGTTATAACATGACGTTATAACATGACGTTATAACATGACGTTATAACATGACGTTATAACATGACGTTATAACATGATGTTATAACATGATGTTATAACATGACGTTATCACATGATGTTATAACATGACGTAATAACATGACATTATAACATGACGTAATAACATGACGTTATAACATGACGTTATAACATGACGTTATAACATGACGTAATAACATGACGTAATAACATGACTTAATAACATGACGTTATAACATGACGTTATAACATGACGTAATAACATGACGTTATAACATGACGTTATAACATGACGTAATAACATGACATTATAACATAACTTTAGAACATAATGCAATAACATGATGTTATAACATGACTTTAGAACATGATGCTATAACATGACGTAATAACATTACGTTATAACATGATGTAATAACATGACATAATAATATTACATAATAACATGACATAACATTACGTTATTACATGTAATAACATGATGTTAGAACATGACTTTAGAACATGCCGTTAGAACATGACATGACATGACATGATGTAATAACAAGACATTAGAACATGACGTCAGAACATGACATTAGAACATGACGTTATAACATGACATTAGAACATGACGTTAGAACATGACGTTAGAACATGACGTTAGAACATGACGTTAGAACATTTTGTATAATACCCCCTCTTTGAGACACTTCATTTATTTTCTTTTTGGTGTAAATATTTGACATGGTTTGTGCATCCAGTCGAGTGTGCTCCACACACCAGATCCTGGTGATTGGTAAACACCCAGTGGCTCCACAGCGGCCATCTTGGCTCATGTGCTCTGGAGCGGCCTCTGAGGGGTGGGAGTTGAACACAGTTTGTTGGGTAATGCTCGAGGTCAGATCAGGAGGGACGCTCTGCTGGAAATGGAAACTTTTTTTTTTTTTTTTAAGTTAGGAAACTGGTTACAGTTAAGGTTAAAACAAGATGATGTTAAAGGGCCCATATGACACTATTTCCTGATCTCTGCTCTAATGTCGTTTCTCATCACAAACAGACCTGGAGCTGTGCTTTGTTTCACTCACACATGTTCAACACATAAATCCTGCACATTTAGGCTGAGATCTTCTCTCTAACAGAAAACACTCCATTCCACCTTGTGATGTCATGTGGTGATACAGGAAGAGCTTCACTGTGTTTTTAAATTCCATACACCTTCTCTAGAAGGGGGGATGATTTGAGCCCTGGAATTGCCAAACTCTACTGAACTAAAGGGAAAAGAAGTTTCATGACATCACAAGGTGGAGCAGAGCATTTGGAGCTTTGGAGATGCAGTCAGACTTACAAAGGGTTAGTTAAACAAATGTGAATGAAACAAAACACAACTCAGATTTGTTTTGGAAGAGGTAACATCATTAAGATGGGGAATGGTTGATGTTGGGTCAGGGAAATGTTTTCGGGGAGTTAACATGTCAGCACAAGTGTCATTTGCTGTAACTTTTTAGGCCTGTTCATAGCAACAGAAGCAGACATGTTGCTGTGGTACTCAGAGCTGTGTGATCACTTGCGTCCCTCCAAATCGAGCTCTCAGCACTCGCCAGTTTGTTCTGGACACATGTGGGCAGGCTACTGTCCCCGCAGGTACAAAACTGCACTGCAGTGTCAAAGGTCACGGCACACACTGGGGCTCATGCAAATTACAAAAAATATATATTTATTAAGGCAAAATTAATTTTGCTTCAATGATCATTTCAATTACTAAAACTACAGAGTTACTAGTTTAGACATGTTGTCCAAGAGCTGCCTTTGCAGAAGTATTGTAACACATGCTCACTTCACTCGCCTTAGTCTGATCTGGTTCTCTTCTGCTTCTGTTCTGGTTCTGTTCTTGTACACTTAAGACCAACTCCTGACAAAAGACAGTGTCCTCAAAATGTCCTGGGCTGGATTAGCATTAGCTAATGCTTTAGCACTAGTGCAGGATGACCACATTTTCCAAATCAAAAACCTGGACAGTCCTGTTTGTGGTGGTTAGTAATAATCAAATTGTGAAACAAGTGCATAATTTACGAAAACTGTTCTGCATGACTTATTCAGGACTAACACGAGTCAGAATAATCACATTTTCTTTGTGGTTTGGTCATTTTTAAGCAGCTTTTCTGTTTTACCAAAACAAATGATAATGAATGCCTGTCTTCACTGCTGGCAGGTGTCAAATTGGTCCAATATAGGGACATGTAGGACATTTCTGGTATAAAACTGAGACAAATCAGTGGCTTTGTCTGCTGGGACAGGGGACACAAAGGTCAAACTGGGACTGTCCTGGGGAAATAGAGAGAGCTGGTCACTCTACACTAGTCTAATGTGACACAGCTGCTAACGGAGAACATACAACACAAACAACAGCTCAGAGCGAGGACCACTTCTGGCTCAAAGCTCAGACATTTTGGCATTTCTAATGTGGCTCACCATATGATGAGACAGTAGGGTGAGACAGTTGGGTGAGACTTTAGCGTGAGACGGTATGGTGAGACATGGGGTAGACAATAGGGTGAAGCAGTAGGGTGAGACTTCAGGGTGAGACGGTAGGATGAGCAGTGGGCAGCATGAGCTAGTCTTGGTCAGTCCCTCAGCTGGAGGATCTGACCTGTGGGGCGTGTTTTGGGTTGATGGGGGAAACCAGAGTGCGCTGAGGAAACCCACCCAGACACCGGGAAAACATGCAAACTCCACACAGAAAGACTCGGGTGACCCACAGATCGAACCCAGAGCCTTTTTGCTGTAAAGAGAGTGCTAGCCCCTCAGCCACGGTCCTGCATGTTTGGAGAATTTTTTTGTGAGGCTGATAGGAGTCGTGCTGTGATATGCTCCTCTGGCAGGTTTTGGATTCAACAACAGCATGGACCAGTAAAAGCTGTGAGTTTGATTGTGTGTGCACATTAGCAATTGTGTCGTGTTTTGGCCCACCTCCTCCACCTGTGCCATGGTTCTTTTGTGTTAGACTGAGAGCTGTCTACGAAACTCACAACTAATGTAGAAGAGAAGAGCAAAGATAAGCCCAGCAGCCTCAAACCTGACTCTCTACTGCAAACACAGTCTCTGTCAGGAGTTACTCATCAAATCCTTACAGCAAGAACCTCCAACCTTCACACTGGCGGGATTGTAGTTTGTACACTGGCAGCAAACCAGCAGAATAAAGAATTGTTGGTTCTTTTTTTAAAAATAGTATCTTACTTTTACAGTCTTATTTACCCTGCCCTCCATCTGAGATTGTGACAAGCCTCAAAAATCCTTTACACAGTAAGTTTAGAACATCACATCAGCAGGAGACAGACCAGGAGTGGGCTTACAAACAGTCTTATATCCTCAGAATCTCATATTTATAACAGGATTGGTCACAAAAGCAAATAGCAACATGGTCACGACACCTAAAGCTGGGGCTCACAGCGCCCCCCACTGCACAGGCCCCTACATCACCGCTAATCTGCTCCACATTCTGCCCCTCATACGGACCTCTGCCCTCCAAGGTCTGACTGCTAATTGAGTGTTTTTTTAAACATATCCTTACCGTCTTTGGTGCAGGTCTATGTCTGTTCTCTGGACTATTAAAACAGCAGGCTGGTTTCTACACAATATTCTGTAATACAACAAACATGGTTCTAGGTTGAGTGTGTCGGTGAGATGGGCAGAGGGTCCATGTCTCTGAGGAGGACATTCAAAGGTGAAGTCACATGACCATCTGAGACGTCCACAGTCCTCTGGTGTCCTCTGATGTCCTCAGGCGTCCTCACTCTCCACGCCCTCCTCGTCCTCCTCCTGGATGTCTGGCCCCGCCCCTGGAACAGTCCACTGTCAGTTAGAACTCAAAGGATTTACTCAAGTAAATCCTGAGTTACAGATGACTCAGCACTTGTTACAATCATTCAAATAAAGTCAAAATCCATACTGGTCAAATATCAGTGCCAAAGTTGTGACTGGACCTTTAATTGGATATAATGAGACTATTTACTATTGTTGAACTTTTCTTCATATAAATCTGTGATGTGAAGGACATGTAACAGTTAGAGAACACCACTGGCTCTCTGTGTCATAAATGAACTGTGTGTTAAGGAAAAAAGGGCCATTTTCTATCCCAACACTGTTATCAGTTGATATTGGATATCTGCAGATACTTAAACTGAAAGGATCGATATCAATATCGATATCAGTATTGGAACTGAAAAGGCTCGATTGGTGCGTCCCAAATATCAATTTATCACCCAATAAAAGCAGAAACAATACATTCAATTTCTTTATGAAAGTGGGAGATTTTTTTCAATTTTTGTATGAAATAAAGGAGTATTTGAGCAGTAGAGGGTAAAATAAATCACTTCTAATCACTAGTCAGAAAGTAGTTTCAGTTTTATCTTTTATGGCAGTATTTCTCTGTTTGAAAGTGCATGATCATGACAGGTCTACTCACCATTCCAGTTGGAATGATCTGTGTCAGGCTCAGGGGGGTTGTCCTCAGAGCTCTGTGACTGGTCGGCAGTGTGACTGGGAGAATCATGTGTCTCTGTGCTGACTTTAGGCTCCGCCTCTTCTTTTTTCTCTTGTTCCTTATTGGCCACCTCTGCCACACAGAGTAATACACTTCATTGTATTGGTTAAACTTGAGCAGAATCAAAGGATCACACACATGTCTGTGATATTTGACTTTACCAACCAACAAATGGATTTTTGATTTATAAAAAATGCTTGACTGAAGAATGAATTGAATTGAATAAAGCATGTTCTAAAGTTGTTCCCTCCTCAAAAACAGACCTGAGTTGTGTTTTGTTTAATTCACATATGTTTGAGTAAATGTTTATTATTAGTCTGTCTATATCTCCAAAGCTCAAACTCCAACTTGTGATGTCATGTAGGGTGACCAAACGTCCATTTTTTCCCAGACATGTCCGTTTTTCATGTCCTGTCCTGGGTGTTAAAGTGATGCAAATGTTCAGGTTTTCATTTCATTTCATTGGGGACATTAAATTGAGCGTCTGTGACTCAGAAGGAGCGAGACAGTCTGCAACATGCCGAAGCGCAAATGCAGATTTAACAATGACTTGGACAAAAAATTCCTAATTTTATGAAGGCGAGAGTAGCTCAATGACGAGGCCCCAGCCCTCACCCTGGGTAAGGTGTCCGGGTTTTCACAAACGGAAATATGGTCACCCTAAAGTCATGAAGCTGTAGTTTACAAGTTAACAGCTCCTTTTACTCTTCTTTAGCTTGTTCAGTAGAGACTGGCAATTCCTGGGTTGAAATTATCCAAATGACATCATTAAGTGGAACAGAGTGTTTTCTGTTTCATATTTTCAACTTAGATCTGCAGGGTTAAACACATGTGAATGAAACAAAACACAGTTCCAGTTATGTTTGTGATGAGGAAACTACATTAGAACATAGATGAAAAAATAAAAAAAGGCCCTTTAAACAAGCCTTCAAATGTTATTGACAAAGAAATGTCACTGGTGTGCTGTACCAGCCCCGCACGGCCTGTTTGTCTTGTTTCCTTGGTCTAGACATCAGAGGTATAATCCTCCCAACAGTGGAAGTTAAATGGACTAGACTAGACCAGAATGGACAACATTAAATTTCATGTCCAGGGTCATATTTCTCTTCTTCCAGCTCTCGAGCTCCTTCAGTTTATCCTTCTACAGTTACTTGTATTATTATTCTTTGAGCAGAGTAGTTGATCTACTTTTAAATATGTAGTGCTATTTCTATCACTGAAGACCAGGTCATGAAACACCAACTCTTATCAGAATGTGCTTTATAATCCTCACTTTTCTGACTGCTTTTTTTTATCCTCTTTTAAACACTTTAAGGCAGACCTGCAATATCAGAGCTTTTAACCATGTTAGACTGTTATTTCCCTTCTCATTTCCCCTCTCGACATTGGATTTAGAGTGATTTGTACATATTTGAACAATCTTTAGTAGCTTATTTTTAAGAGGCCATATTGCCAATCAACCTCTGTTTTCAGCTCCACCAGCATATGCTCCCACTGCTTCATACTTCATAGTTCATTCACCAATTTTATTTTCTTATTTTTGACACATGGTCATTTTGGTACAAATGAAAACATGTTCACAGCCATCCATCAGGCCACGTCAGCTCCCACTGGACACTGCAGTTTACTCATGTGGAACTCAGTGGATTTGTTTCTTCTTATTAAGTTATCTTAGATGAATATTGTGATTTAAAATGTCCAACTTAGAACATAATGATCCACACTGGTCATTAATTATAACTATAGAGCAGACACAAGCACAATATGCTTTAAACTAAACTGTATGTGATCCTGTACCATGCAGCGACAGCTCCTTCCAGCGCTCCTTGTTGCTGACGATGACTCCGCTGAGGCGCTGCCGCAGCGCGGCCAGGTCAATGGCCGTCAGGGAGAAGTCCGTCTGAGCATCCTCGTGTCCATGACGACTGCTGCTGTGCCTCTGGACCGACTCCACTGTTACCGTGCCGCTCCCAGTCAGACTGCAGCAGAGAGAAGCCTGACTCACACCTCCTCCTAATGCACACGTGTTACTGACGTGTGCACTCTTACCTGGACCTCCTGTTGCCCGACTCTCTGGCTTTGCGGTCCTCTTCGATCAGTGGACCAATCACCTTCTCCATAGTGTCCACCAGCACGCTGAAGGTGGGCTCCACGATGAAGTCTATGAAGCCTAGAAGAAAGCACATAGTACATCTTAGTCCTCACACATGTGTGCAGGGACAATACTGATGTGGGACTGGGCGAGCGTGTGTGTGTAGGGACAATACTGATGTGGGACTGGGCGAGCGTGTGTGTGTAGGGACAATACTGATGTGGGACTGGGCGAGAGTGTGTGTGTAGGGACAATACTGATGTGGGACTGGGCGAGAGTGTGTGTGTAGGGTCAGTACCAATCTGGGACTGGGCGATCATGGTAGCCTTCCTGTCACACAGCGGGGAGAAGGGTAGACCCAGCTGCATCTCTTTGTCACCCTGAGACACAAACACAGTGTGAGCAGACACACACAGGGCACAGAACACCACCACCATCATTTAAGGAAAAACATTTTGGAGCAAAGACCGATGTGCACAGTCATAACTACAGGCTATCTCCAATTATTAGAATATATTAAAAAAAATTTAATATATACATGATCTTGTATATAGACGTAGATTAGAAGACAATAAAGCAAACATCTCAGCCAAACAAAGATTACCACACTCCTGTGGATACAAACGGCAAACCCTGTGCTTACACTGAAGGAGAGCATCACATGGCCAACTGCAGAAAGCTCGAGCAAAGTCACACATAGAGAAGGTAGATGTTTTGCCTTTTTGAAACATGGATATATGTCACGCATTGTCTTTACAATTGTTAAGAGAAGGCATCTTGTCAGGAATGTTCTGGACCACACCTCACTCTCCAGCACATGAACATGAAATCTACAAAGGGGGAATGCAACAATAAAATCCCCGAGCAGAAAACAGTCTCCAGTGCTCCGGTGCAGACCGTAGAAGCAGGCAGCCACACTGGGGAAGACTGCACTCTCTCTACTGTGCCAGTGTGTGTTTAAGCAGTTAAAGGGACAAAAGTAGTCATGACATGCTGTTTTGAATCCAGGAAGCACCTTTGCCACAGAGTCACTGGTTAATGAACTGAACATGAATGGACATAATACCAGCATGTTCCTGAAGACAATGGGACAAGAATCTGTTGTGAACACCAGTTTTGTGAATGGACTGGAGATCAGCAGCTTGGATGGTGAGAACTACATCAAGTTATCAGAAGTTTACTCACAAAACCTCAAAGAGAACAGCCCACGTTAAGAGAATGTGAACTGTTGGCTGCTTCTGAAATGTGTAAAGCTCCCTGTTACTCAAGTCGACACTGGATTGCTCATTGGAGCAAATGTTTCTCAAGCTATGGAACCAGTTCAGGTGGTTAAAAAGTGTGGATGATGGACCATAAGCTGTGAGAACATTACTAGGCTGGACAATAATGAACCACTCAGAGGCAGAGAAGAGGTGAAGCAAACTAACATATGGACTAAAGTGCCTGTAAACAGGATCTCCGTTGCTAGATTGGAGGAGCTGTGGGAGCTTCAGTTTAAACAAGATTTCCCTACTGCTGGACTAACAGAGGAATTTAACAGAGAAACTCAATTTATTTCCATGGTGTCTCAGTCTGCAGAGCTGAAAAATGGACATTACAGCATTTGTCTCCCAGTCAAGAATAAAGAGCTGCTCATGGCTCAGTCACAGAGCAACGTGTACTAAAAGATTTTCCAGAGATGAGGTCTACTACAAGGGGTATGTGGCATTTATGGACAGCATCTTGGATACAGCAGGGGAGATCACAAATGCTGAAACGTATTTGGAGCTTACCTCATCATGGAGTCAGACATCCGGTGAAAGGGGGTTATGTTTTTATCAAGTTCGAGTGAGTTACTCTGACACAAACCTCCTCAGATTCCTCTGGTGGCTTCATGGGGACTACAGTCAGCAGCTGGTGGAACACGATGAACGTGCCCATTTCTGGGGCTACACCGTCCAGTCCAGCCACGTTTGCAATGCAGAAATGTCCTTCAGAAGAGTTTGGCCAAGAAGCTGCTAAAACTGTCTTCAGGAACTTTTATGTGGACAACTGCATTAAATAACAGACTAGAAAAGCACTCAGAGAGCGCAGACCTCCGCCAAGGACTACCCCCATTTTTTATATAAATTGCGATAAAATCAGTCTTCTGGATCAGATCCGGATCAGCCTTTGGAATATGAAAGAGGATCCCATTGTCCATCCCTGAGTCAAATTTCATGGGGTTTGGTCAATAATTAACCGAGATATTGAGAAACTAAATTTTTGGCCTCATTTACCACAATGTTAACTAAAATTTCAAAGTGATCCAGAATCCAGGATTTCTTCCGGATCACCCCCAAAATGAAATCAGTTCTTCCTTTTCACATTTCCAACAAATCCTGAAAATTTCATCAAAATCGGTCCATAACTTTTTGAGTTATGTTGCTAACAGACAAACAAACAAACAAACAAACAAACAGACAAACGCCGGCAAAAACATAACCTCCTTGGCGGAGGTAATAAAGATGGTGCCATCTCTCTTGCAGCTGCTTTGACCAAGTTGCTGGCTAAAGGAGACTTCAGGCTGACAAAGTGCTCATGTAAAAGAGAAGACTGCTTAACATGATTCCAGCCAGTGAACGAGCTCACAGATTTCAAGCTTTGGATTTGGATCAAGACTACTTACAAGTGGAGAGAGTCCTGGGAATATGGTGGTGTGCACAAACTGATAAATTCAAGATTAAGATCAACCTCAAACAGCGTCTACACACCAGAAGAGGACTACTTTCCCTGGTCAGATCCCTGGCCAGCCAAGAGACTTCTCTGTCTCCTGAAGTACTGCAGGGACAAAGAGCTGCCAGATAGCATTATTAAGATCTAGACTAGACTCAAGCAGCTGGAAGGAGTTAGAGTGGATAGGTGCATCTTTGGCTTACCAGTCTCAGCACAGCTTCACCATTTTGCTGAAGCGAGTGATGATGCTTATGGCATAGCAAGCTACCTGGTGCTGCACATCTCCAAAGGTGATGCACAATCCACTCTCCTGATGGCCAGAGCCAGAGCTGCAACTCCAGAGTTGCACTACTGAAAACTGCGGTTAGCTGGAGTAAACTGCAGCCACAGATGCAGTGAAGATGGATAAGCTGCTGAGAAAGGAGCTGGAGGTGGAGCTTGTCATTAAATATCAGAACAGTGAAACCGCAAGAAATTTGTAGGTAATCGTGTGACAGCCATCCTGCAGCATTCACAAGCGTCCCAGTGGAGGTATGTAAAGTCCACCTCTAACCCTGCAGACTGTGTTTCCAGGGGACTAGCAGTTGATCACCGCCCAAAATGTTGTACAAATTTAAAATGATGAAAAAGCACAGTTACAGTGATAAAAACAATAAAGAATAAAGAAAATAGGAGGTGCTCAGCCTGTGTGAAACGCCAGTGCAAAAAGGTGAGTTTTCATGGCAGAAGGAGGCTATAATAGTAAGTCCCATAGTTTGGGCCCAGTGACAGTGTCTTACCCACACTAAACTCTGTGTTTATGAAGTAAAAGAAGTTCTTACGTGAGAGACACGTGAGAGACACGTGCTACAAATGACTGGTTGTGATTGGACCAAGTTAGGACAGTTTTTTCCACTCACTGTGGTCCGTTTGGCTGGTCAGGCAAGACTGTTACCACTTAAATCAGAGTAACTTTAGATTTTTAACTGGCAAAGATATTACACATCTCCTGTTGATGTACGATAATGACTTGAGTTATTTTCCTATGATTATTATTTACAGGTGCACTATAGATCTTTTCTGCTGGAGGGTCTACCACCTGTATCTCTTTATGCAGCTGTCTTTTTGTTTTGTTTTGTTTTGTTTTTTTTGCCGGAAATGTTCCATGTTGGGAATAAAATGTATCTATCTCCAGAAGTTGCCACCGGCCCAAGTTGGCCTGATCTGTGAAGAGGAAAGATACATGTTTAATGCCATACTGTGGAGCATTCCAAGCAAAGCAAAAATATCTCACTGATCACAAGCAGGTGGAAGATCCTCCTCCAGAAATGTAACACAGCACACCTTAACCCATTCTCAGACTAATGTGAAAGATTAGTTAGTTAGTCATTTTAGTCCAAAAGTGAATTTTAGGAGGAAGTACCTGTCTGAAGAATTCCTCCATGAGGTTGTGGGTCCAGCGGTAGTGCAGGGGCCAAGCCCGGGCTGGGTGACTGATGTCTGCAGCATGGAGCACCAGAGACAGCACCTTCACCTTGTCCAGACTAAACAAATACACATACACAGCATGATTCCAATTCTTTTCTCTGTCAAAGTGTTTTACAATGTTGTACAATATAATGTGGTCATGATACTACAATTTCAAACTCAGTAGTAAGGAACAGACTCCATACTCAAGGTGGATTCTGATATCACGATGATCATAAACAAGAACACTTTCTTTGGACAATAGAAAAAGTACTTTCTTTTCTATTCCCATGTGGTTTCATATCTGTGTAATCCCTCAGTGGTCCAGGTAGGTTCCATATGGTTCATGGGTGTGTACTAGTCTATACTGCTCAAAAATGAAAGGAACACTTTGAAAACACATCAGATCTCAAATCTTAATATAAATCACTGGTCAATGTCTTAGGAACAAGAGGATGCCACTTCTTGACATGGAAATGAAGAACAGGTGACACTAGAGCAGCAACATGAGACAAACCCTAAAACAGGACTGGTTTTACATGTGGAGGTCATTTCAAGTTTCTCCCTCTTGGTCTTTTTTGGCTTTTCCTCGAGTGCTGCTTTGGCTACAGTGATCATCACTACTGGGAGTATGAGGTCATTCCTGAACCCTACAGATGCACAGATTGTCCAGCTTCTCCAGGATGGTACATCTGGACGTGCTGTTGCAAGAAGATTGAATGTGTCTCCAGCACAATCTCCAGAACATGGAGGAGATTTCAGGAGACAGACAGTTCCTCTAGAAGAGCTGGACAGAGCTGTAGAAGGTCCTCAACTCATCAGCAGGATCCACATCTGCTCCTTTGTGCAGGAGCAACAGTCTGAGCACTGCCCATGTCCTACAGAATGACCTCCAACAGGACACTGCTGTGAATGTCTCTGCCCAAACAATCACAAACACAATTCATGAGAGTGGCTTTAGGGGCCCACATCCTGTAGTGGACCCTGAGATCAGTGCCCAGCACCGTGGAGCTCCTTTGGCATTTGCTAGATCAGAATTGGCAAGCACTGGTGCTCTGTGCTTTTCGCAGATGAGAGCAGGTTCACCCTGAGCTTCTGTGATAGACGTGAAAGAGTCTGGAGAAGATAAGAAGAACACTCTGCTGCCTGCACCATGGTTCAGCATGAGTGGTTTGGTGGTGGGTCAGTGATCTTCTGGGGAGGCAGATCCATGGGGGGACTGACTGCCATTAGGTATAGGGATGAAATCCTTGAACCCATAGTCAGACTCTACACTGGTGCAGTAGATGCAGGGTTCCTCTTGATGTACAAAATTCCCCTACCTCATGTGGCAAGAGTCTGCAGACAGAACCTGGAGGATGAAGGGATTGATACAACCAAACGGCCCTCAAGATCACCTGACTTAAACCCGATAGAACATCTCTGGGAGATTATGTCTGGGTCCTTCAGACGTCGTCAGGTTGCTCCTCAAACTCTACAGGAGCTCAGTGATGCCCTTACACAGATCTGGGAGGACATCCCCCAAGACATTATCCGTCGTCTCTTTAGGAGCAAGCCACGATGTTGTCAAACATGCAGACAAGCATGTGGGGGGCTACACAAAATATTGAAAAGGATTTTGAGTTTCAGAGATAAAATTTAGGCAAAATGGACCAGCCTGCCACATCATTATTTCATTTTCAGGGTGTCTATAAAATGAAGCCCTCTGTGGCTGAACATTTTAGTTTCATTTAAAGAGTCATTCTTTCTTTTGTTCCTAAGACATGGCCCTGTCCATATTTGTATAGATATCCAGCATTTTTTTTTCTCCACACTGAGATCTGATGTGTTTTCAAAGTGTTCCTTTAATTCTTGAGCAGTCTATGTGTCTTCTGCTTGTTCTGATACAGCTGAAGATCATTCAGGAAAGGTTCATTTTTGTCCTGTGACTTTTTTAGTATTGATACTTGATCAAATGAGTGTCTAGTTTCTATACTGGTGTTAGTATCTTTTGATGTCTGATTTTCAATACTTTTGACAACCCTAGTGTGAGATAAGCTCCAAAAACAGTGCTCAGTGCTGTCTTAGCTTTGCTGTCTTGAGTTGCCTGTGTATTTCAGCCAGTCTCACTCTAACTCTGTAGTCTGTTATGATGCATGTGAGTCATGTGGGCTAATCGTTTTAATCATGGCGGTTCAGACATGGGGGAGGCGTGGCAAAGGCTGCAGCAGATGTTGTCTGGACACAGCCGAGCAGGTTCAAGCGAGTGATGTGCTTGAATGAGTCACTCCGAGCGGACTGGCTCTTCTTTCCTGTTTCTGATTAAAATGGTGATGCTTATCCAACCAGGAATCTGACCGGATCATCAGTCAGGTTATAGATACGCAGATACAATTCCCCCTGCTCTCACTCCTTTTAAGGAAGTAAGTGCCATTTTCCATCCCAACACTGGTATCAAGTAAAAATATCAATATCTGTATCAGAACTGAAAATGCTGGGTCGCTAGTAAATATTACCTTTGCACTTCATAAAAAAAATAATACAAGGCACTCTATTAATACTATAGTTATTTCAAAATTCATATTACTTTATTACAACCACATTAGGCACTTTTTGCCCAAGCCTTGAACAGTCTCATTTGCATATTAGAGGGTCAGTGCTCCACAGCTCTGCACAGCCTCACCTGGGCGTCTGCGACACCGAATTCCTCATGGTCTTGATCTGCTGGAAGTGGCAGGACATGTCTGTGGACATCACCATCTCGATGACCAGGGCCCTCAGCTCTCTGAAGGACACACACACACGCACACACACACATACTCATAATATTGTAAGTACAGAACAATGGGTGGACAGAGGAGGTAGGGGAGATTAATTAATTAATAAATTTTTTTATTTTATATTATTTTTTTATGGAGGACAGTGCAGCTTTACTCAAACATGCATAAATCATTTGAAATACAACTCTGAGATAATGATGATTGTCTTTTTTTCCATCTTATTTTATTTTTCATTGTTTCAGTGCACTAACACAGAAGAGCTCAGACCACAGAGCTGGTGTCTTCACTCCGTTTGCCTCCTGCTGGGTCATTCATTTTGAAAACTGGAGCACCTGCCCCTCAGACAGCGGCACTGTACCCCGTCTCACTCAGGACTAAAGCTCAGACACAAGTGTGATACCTCCAGTCGTCCTTGTTGAGGTTGATCAGGATGTTCATTTCCTCGTCTGCCATCAGCCTGTAGGCGGCGCTCACGTGGTGATTCTCCAGCACTGAGCGGTCATTGTACAGAATGGCCACCTCGGACCTGCACACCAACAAACAGGGCTTTTGCTGCTATAATGTTACACCAATACCTGTACAGTATGTGACCTGTTATGTGTTACTAGTCATGTGTGTTACTAGTCATATATGTTATTGTGTATGTGTGTTACTGCTCATATGTGTTACTGCTCATGTGTGTTACCACTCATGTGTGTTACTGCTCATGCAAGTCACAGGTCATGCATGATACTGATCATACATATTTCTAAATCAGAATCAGGACACTGGTCATGTGTTCTTGGTCTTGCGTGTTACCTCCTGGTCATGTATGTTATTGGGTTTTTATTGTTTGTTTGTGTTACTCGTCAAATCTTTTACTGCTCATGAATGTTAAAGGTTTTATATTATGCAAAATTTACTCTTGTGACCTTTTATCATTTGTGTTACTGCTCATGTGTGTTATGGGTCATGTGTGTTAGTGGTCATGTGTGTTATGGGTCATGTGTGTTAGTGGTCATGTGTGTTATGGGTCATGTGTGTTATGGGTCATGTGTGTTATGGGTCGTGTGTTACTGGTCATGTGTGTTACTGGTAATGTATGTTATGGGTCATGTGTGTTACCGGTAATGTGTTCTGATAGTCATGTGTGTTACTGATCATGTGTGTTATGGGTCATGTGTGTTACTGGTCACGTTTGTTGACTGTCGTGTGTTATTAGTCATGTGTGTTCACAGACATGTGTGTCGACACTAATGTGTGTTATGGGTTATATGTGTTATTGGTCATGTGTCTTGACAGTCATGTGTGTTTACTGGTCATGTGTGTTACTATTCATGTGTGTAACTGGTCATGTGTGTTACTGGTCATGTGTGTCATGGTTCATGTGTGTTACTGGTCATGTGTGTCATGGTTCATGTGTGTTTCGGGTCATGGGTGTAACTGATCATGTGTGTTACTAGTCATGTGTGTTACTGGTCATGCGTGTTACTAGTCATGTGTGTTACAGGTCATGTGTGTTATGGGTCATGTGTGTTACTGGTCATGTGTGTTATGGGTCATGTGTGTTACTGGTAATGTGTGTTATGGGTCGTGTGTTACTGGTAATGTGTGTTATGGGTCATGTGTGTTTCTGGTCATGTTTGTTGACTGTCATGTGTGTTATTAGTCATGTGTGTTCACAGACATGTGTGTCGACACTAATGTGTGTTATGGGTTATATGTGTTATTGGTCATGTGTCTTGACAGTCTAGTGTGTTTACTGGTCATGTGTGTTACTATTCATGTGTGTAACTGGTCATGTGTGTTACTGGTCATGTGTGTCATGGTTCATGTGTGTTTCGGGTCATGGGTGTAACTGATCATGTGTGTAACTGATCATGTGTGTTACTAGTCATGTGTGTTACTAGTCATGTGTGTTACAGGTCATGTGTGTTACAGGTCATGTGTGTTACTAGTCATGTGTGTTACTAGCCATGTGTGTTACAGGTAATGTGTGTTACAAGTCATGTGTATTACTAGTCATGTGTGTTACAGGTCATGTGTGTTACTGGCCATGTGTGTTACAGGTCGTGTGTGTTACATGTCATGTGTGTTACTAGGCATGTGTGTTAGAGGTCATGTGTGTTACTAGTCATGTGTGTTACAGGTCATGTGTGTTACAGGTCATGTGTGTTACTAGTCATGTGTGTTATATGTCATGTGTGTTACAGGTCATGTGTATTACTAGTCATGTGTGTTACAGGTCATGCATGTTACTAGCCATGTGTGTTACAGATCATGTGTGTTACAGGTCATGCGTGTTACTAGTCATGTGTGTTACAGGCCATGTGTGTTACTGGTCATGTGTGTTACAGGCCATGTGTGTTACAGGTCATGTGTATTACTAGTCATGTGTGTTACAGGTCATGCATGTTACTGGTCATGCGTGTTACTAGTCATGTGTGTTACAGGTCATGCGTGTTACTAGTCATGTGTGTTACAGGCCATGTGTGTTACTGGTCATGTGTGTTACAGGTCATGTGTGTTACAGGTCATGTGTGTTACAGATGGGTGTGGGTTGCCATTGTATGTTTTGCTCTTTATACATCTTTGTGTTATTTCTTTGATCATGTGTGTTACTAGTCATATGTGTTATGTGTGTTACTAGTCACACTAGTATGTAATAACAGTCATGAGTGGTTACACATGGTTATGCACGTTACAGGACATGTGTGTCACTGCCTGGTCATCTAAGTTACTGGTCCTGTATGTTTCTGGTCATACATGTTACTGGTCATATGTGCTACCAGTCCCGTGTGTTACCTTGTGTGGATGTGAAAGTTGTTGGTAGTTCCTGTGTGCTCAAAGTCGTGGATGGCAGCTGCAAAAACCATGGCTAGGATCTCCAGCTCACTCAACCAGTGCTGCAGAAAAACAAAAAACACGAGTACTATCACATATTTGCATTTAATATTTGTCTTAATATGAAAAGCAGACGTGTTTTGGCGGTGTGCTTTACCATGAGTCCCGTGTGGAGCATGAGGAAGTGAGCGGTCTGCGTGACGTCGGCGGCGTGGATCAGGTTGTGGTAGGGGTTACGGTGTTTGCTGTAACCGGCCTCCAGAGCCTCAACGAACAGCACCAATGCCTGCACCGGGATCTGCGCACACGAGCCATGCAACCACCATGCTCACTATGAATCCATGTATCATTTGTTCACTCCTTTTTCAAAATAAAACCAAAAATAAGAAAATGAAAAAGCAACTATTTTCTTCATTATTTGTCTCCAAAGCCAAAGTGAAAATATGGAAAACAGTTTTTTTTATTTTTTTATTTTATGTTTAAATGAAGAATGGAAAAAAACGGATAACGGCCTTTTCTCGTTTCCGTGATTTAAACTATGATGCCGGATTTTGCACCACATTTGGACCAAATCAGGACTAAACCAGGACTAAACCAGGACTAAACCAGGACTAAACCAGGACTAAATCACCAGGACTAAACCAGGACTGAGTTTCGGGATGGGCCCAGAGGTGCACCCACGTAGACTGATCATCACTGAGACCGGGACCACACTGGGACCAGATCAGGACTGAGACCAGGACCAGACTAGAACGAGATCAGGACTAAGCCTGGGACCAGACCAGGATTGAGACCGGGACTGAGACCAGGACTGTTTCAGTTTTAGTCCTGGTTTAGTCCTGGTTTAATCCTGGTTCAGTCCTGGTTTAGTCCTGGTTTAGTCCTGGTTTAATCCTGGTTTAGTCCTGGTTTAGTCCTGGTTTAATCCTGGTTCAGTCCTGGTTTAGTCCTGGTTTAGTCCTGGTTTAGTCCTGGTTCAGTCCTGGTTTAGTCCTGGTTTAATCCTGGTTCAGTCCTGGTTTAGTCCTGGTTTAGTCCTGGTTTAGTCCTGGTTCAGTCCTGGTTTAGTCCTGGTGTAGTCCTGGGATTAGTCCTGGCTAAGTCCGAATGTGGCACAAAAGTCCGGCAGTTTAAGTCACGGAAATGGCTGTTATCCGTTGTATTCATTTAAACACAAAATAGAAAACTGAAAAAAAAAACGAATCGTTATCCGTTTTTTCATTTTGGTTTTGGAGACAAATAATGAAGAAAATAGTTGTTTTTTCATTTTCTTATTTTTGGTTTTATTTTGAAAAACGAATGAATGAATGATACACGGATTACTATGTTTACATGTGCACTTTTAGCCACCAACACAGCAGGTCAAATCCTCCAGTCCTGACCAAGACCTGGAGATGGGTCCCACTGCCCTTGACAGGTGGCCCCAGTGGCATTAAGGGGTGGGTCAAATGCAGAGGACAGATTCTCCTGGGTAGGCCTGGGCAGTTCATGGAAAGCTGGGGAATGAGCCATCTTTTAGTTAATAATACAGTCGGGGTTTTTGTTTTGAGCCAGTTGTCTGTCAGCAAACCATAAGGGTCAGACTTAGGAAGGAGGAAGCTGTTTGAGAAGCTTTGTGTTAAATGGCAGATTGTTGCCTTTATTTAAGTTTGCACTGATGCGATATAAGTATTCGAAACCAGATCAATATTAAACATGTTGGTGGATCAGTTATTGCCTTTCAGATCCCAGTACAAAAAGCCAAATAGATGCTTCACAAATCCATGTATCATTCATTCATTTGTTTTTCAAAATAAAAACAAAAATAAGTAAATGAAAAAACAACAGTTTTCTTCATTATTTGTTTCCAAAACCAAAATGAAAACACGGATAACAATTCATTTTTTCAGTTTTCGATTTCGTGTTTAATTGAATAATGGAAACAACAGATGACGGCCATCACTGCCATGCCAGCATCACCTGGTTAATCCTGGTTTAGTCCTGGTTCACTCCTGGTTTAGTCCTGGTTTAGTCCTGGTTCAGTCCTGGTTCAGTCCTGGTTTAGTCCATATACAGTGCAAAAGTCCAGTATCTCGATCGATGTTTCTTCTGCTCCATAAAAAACACCTGTGAAGTGATGATGTATTTTTGACAGTTGAGCCGCGTCTGTGAATTCATATTTGTACTGAAGAAAGCATAGTTCTAAAAGGTTCATTTGGTGATTGTAATTCTTGCTGTAACTTTTCAATTTGTATTCTAATGGATAAAATGCACACAACACATTTAATGTATGACTGGACTCAATCGAGAGTTTACTCTCTATTACTATTACTTTATGCTCAACTACAGACAAATATGCACAGATTTCTATCCTATGTACATATACTTTTTTTTTAGAAATAGTGTTATTTTGTTAACCTGCCTAAAATGTTAGAAGCACAGTTTAAGTCACAGAAACACAAAACCGAAAACTGAAAAAACAAATCGTTATCTGTTTTTTTCATTTTGGGTTTGGAGACCAATAATGAAGAAAATAGTTGTTTTTTCATTTTCTTATTTTTGTTTTTATTTTGAAAAACGAATCTTCATGCAAAATCTTCACATACAAAAATATACATTTTGAATTATTGTAAATCCGCAGAATTCTAGTGAATAAGTGTGTGGTGACAGTAGGACAGACGTGTTACCCTGTAGCGGCTGATCAGGTCGTAGCGGGTCAAGAGGTCGTACACCAGGAACTTGAGGGCGTGGTCTCCCGTGGCGGTTTGGAACGAGAACACATCAAAGGACCACTGATCCACTTCCTGTAAACCAGCCAATCACAGTTTAGTGTTAAATGTCAAAGTTACCATTTTGTCATTTGAGTTTCCAGTTTCAGTGTTGAAGTCCAGTGTGTTTAAACCTAAACTGTTTCTCTCTGATCTGAACGGTCTCTCCTTAAACCCAGCACCTGCACCAGTCATGAGTCAGTGCTAGTGCAGCCTCTGCAGCTCAGGGAGGGAATGCTGGAGGTTCTGAGCTTCACATGAGACATATGACCTGTCTTATTGTACTACTGGTAAAAGAGTTGGAGGCCTCTAGGTGTACAGTCAGTCTGTTGATGGAATCTTAGTCAACCAACTTTCTTTTAGATGTCAAATTTGTGTACATTTTTTATATGGACAATGACAACATGCAGAGGAAATCTGAGTTAGTTAACTGCAGATTTTGTAGTGAATGGTGAGTTTAATCTCTCTTTTCACACAGACCTGTTGTGTAATATTTTTCTGTATAGACAGGTATACTCTAAGCCTGTTTGTCTTTTAGACGAGCGATCCACAGGACAAGTGTTCAGTCAACTACAGTCCAGCTGGAAGGAGCTTTAGAGCCGCTCTCTGATGTTGTGTTTGACATTCTAGTGCAGTGAAGTGTTATTCCAAGATCATCCTTTAGATGGCAGATGTCCACATTTTCCTCAGAAACAGTGGCTCTGCTTCTGTTCATCCAATCAGCACTAATTACATTGTGCTGAGTCTGAACAGAAGCTGCGTGCCTTCCTCTGTTTAATACAATTACACGAGGAGCTCCAAAACACCAGAGCGAACTTACACGTGTGGATACAACACACCAGCTCACTGCTGTAACATCCAGCTGTGATTATGCACCTGCCAGTGTGCACCTGCCAGTGTGCACCTGCCAGTGTGCACCTGCCAGTGTGCACCTGCCAGTGTGAACTGAGAGAGTCTTACCTTGAGTGCACTGATGGCAGTGGGGGGGTAGGTGAGGCCGGCCATGTTGGATGTTCTTCTGTACATTCTGTTAAGAGACACGGTGTAGAAAAGTCAATAATCAGACAGTCTCTATCAAACTCTTGTTCCATGTATTTGTCTCTCCCATTTGTATTTGAGCAAAATGTGTCTCGTCCCAGTACAGATGAAGTAGATTATATAAACGGCTAGTGAGGTCAGAAGAAGTCCATTGTGTTCAGTTTGCATCTAATTATAAAGCATTTTATTGTCCGCAAATCAGGAAAAAACTCCACTCTAGTCTCTGCGCTGTGAAAAGTGCTTATAAACCCATCTCAGTGAATAATTAGGATGCTCAGAATGCACAAGGTAAGAGAGGAACAACGTTAACTATTTACTATTTAAAATGAACTAGATCTGTTTTTCAGGTCAGTGCCTTTAAACCACAGATGGGTCAGGTGCACAGAACACACAAACACACAGTCTCAGCCCACTATTTATGTAATTATTTATTTTATTATTTTATTTATTTATTTTCATTTTTTGTCAAAAAAATGACCATATTGAATTCTAATTGTTGTTTTGTAGAAAATAAAAACAATGATAATATTTAGTCTATTGTGTAAAATAAAATATCTAATAAAAAGGTTGCATAAAGAGCCATTTAGAAATGACAAATAAACTTGCTGTAATTTTCCCAACACTTCAGTGGTTACATTTGCAGTCCACTGAGTTTGACTTGAAGCTCACATTTACAGGAACATTTTGCACATTTGGCTCTCAGTATTGTCATCGAGATAATGCAGAACAACAAAATACTGAGAGAATCATTTGATGTTAATACTGCCTTGTGTTGTGGTAAAATAGAGGTTTGATCTTTCTGAAGTACGGAGATAAATACAATAACACTCACACTGACATCTTGTAGCTTACAGTAAGGAGCATTGGTTATTAGTTCATTCCATTGAACTACCCTCAGGTGTGAACTGTCACCTGGGTCATATTTTGCTTAACTGTTCAAGACCCAATGAGTTTTCTAGAACTCTCTAGTTCTTCCAGTTTGTTCATTTCAGTGACACTTGGGAAACAAATCATTGGTCATTTAGGACTAAATCAGTATTGGCCTTTGCAGCTGATGTCATCAACATTCATCATCAACATTCCCTGGGGTGTGAAGCTAACTGTAGGCATGCTCTGTCTGAAGCTCTGGAGCGTTCGACTTACACTCCCTCTCACAGAACCTGACAGGCTCAGGCTCACTCGCACAAGCCCACAGAGTTTCAGTTTCCTGTCAGCGGTGCTCCTCAGAGGGACTGAGATACACATATTTAAACTCATTGTACTTTTCATCACTAAGTGTGTACTGTTGTATTGTTGTATTGTTTTATGTTGTGTGTGTGTTCTATGTTTTGTATGTTTCAGGGCGCAGATGGAAATGTGCTCTGATCTTCTCCGTCGTTTTCATAGAAAAGTCTTGGTGTTCCTGTCGTTTAAAGCTGTTACTTGTGTTCTTTTGTTTAGCTCCTCTCAAATGATAACACTTGTTTTTCTTTTACTTTTTAAACATTTATCACAAATGTAACTGCAATTGCAATATGTATCTGAAGAATATCTAGTTTTGTTTGGTTGGTTGTTTTTTCAGTTAAATCATTCAGTGAGGTGTAGTGCTTCTCTCATTGATTTGGCAGAAATCCTTCATGTTTTTCTGTCCCCTGTGATATTTTTGTCTTTTCTTTTTCCTCATAATCAGTCATATTTGTTTTATATTAACAGCCCATGTGTGTCCCTGATTGGCAAATTCACCTGTCAGTCACACCATCTGAACTCGGTGGGTTTTAACAGTCACCAGACTGTGACTCATACACTGGTTGTTTGGCTGCTCTGAGTCTCAGAGTCACTCACCTCTCCACAAAGATGCCGGCCTGCACTGCGTGGACAATGCTCCGGAATCTGGGCTTCTCTTCTGGGCGCCGTTTGGCCACGCCCATTTTACTGCTGAAGGTGCAGGCCAGCCAATCACGCACCTCGCTGGGCACCGACTCTGCCTTCAGCTCGCTCAGCTCATCCTCTGTGTCCAGCAGACGCCTGGAGAGGACAAGACAGTTAGTGGACACGAGCTCCAGCCGTCCCTGCAGCCAAACCCTCACATGTCATTTATTCTGCACATGTCAGATCAGAAGATTACAGCTTTTTTTTTGTTTTTTCTAGATTATAATCAGAAAACTAAACATTTCACTAAAACATCAATATATTAAGGATTCAGTTATAAAAAAATCCATCCATCCATTTTCTTCCACTTATCCGGGGTCGGGTCACGGGGGCATCAGTCTAAGCAGGGACTCCCAGACTTCTTTCACCCCAGACACTTCCTCCAGCTCCTCCGGGGGGACCCCAAGGGGTTCCCAGGCCAGCCCAGAGACATAGTCCCTCCAGTGTGTCCTGGGTCTTCCCCAGGGCCTCCTCCTGGTGGGACATGAACACCTCCTGAGGGAGGCGCCCAGGAGGCATCCGGAACAGATGCCTGAGTCTCAACTGCTCCTCTCAACGTGGAGGAGCAGTGGCTCTATTCCGAGCTCCTCCCGGGTGACTGAGCTCCTCACCCTATCTCTAAGGGAGCGTCCAGACACTCTGCGGAGGAAACTCATTTGTGCTGCTTGTATCTGTGATCTCGTCCTTTCGGTTCATGAGCTCTGGGTAATGACCCAGAGCTCATGACCAGAGGTGAGGGGAGGAGCATAGACTGACGCCTAAATCAAGAGCTTTGCCTTTGGGCTCAGTTCCTCTTCACCACAACAGTCTGATACAGCGACCGCATCACTGCCAACACTGTACCTGTCCACCTGTCAATCTCCATTATGGATTATTGTTATGGTTAGGCTTAGGCACATGCTTAAGGTTAGGGTTAGGAAACTGTTTTGGGATAATTCTTATTTTTATTTAATTTTTTTCGGGGGCCTGTTTATAGCAACAGGAGCTAACACATTACTGTGGCCGTCAGAGCTCAGTGATAACTTCCAGACCCGACTATCAGCACTAACCTTTTTAAATTCGGTTGAAGTTCATAATACTTCCTGGTTGGACACAGACAGCGGAGGTGACAAATGTAGAGGTCATTCCATAACTGTTACTTAGCGTCCATTATGTTAACAAGAACTCAGGAAAAGTCCTTCCTTGCTCATAAATTGTTCTTCCATTACTGTTGGAGTTGATGACATATGCAAACTCTGATACATATTTAGCACTGGTGCTGTTTCACTGAACACATTCAGACTGAGGAAAACAGGAGAACCTTCCATATGCACTTTAAAGAACATTAAAGGGTCTTTTCTGTCCTCTGTGTTCTAATGTCGTATCCTCATCACACACACACCTGGAGTTGTGTTTTGTTTCATTCACACACATTTAACACACAAACCTGCACATTTAGGCTTGATGATTTCCACCTTGTGATGTCATGTGGCAATACAGGAAGTGCTCCACTGTGTTTTTAAACTCATATTCACACACCTTCACTAGAATCATTTGGATCATTTCAGGCCTGCTCTACCTCTGCTGAACTAAAGCTACAGCTGCAGGGGTATACGTGTGCATGTATTTGTGCCGAAGCATTTTGGTGCGAGATGTTGGGTTTGGTGCAGGGGGCAGTGTTTACATTGGGCCACTATATGTGCAGCTACACGGAGGCTCAGCTCTTTAATATTCACGAGGAACTCGTCTGTGACTGGAGCAGTGTTTTATAGTTATAGTTTTTATAGTTAGGGCGGCCACATTGACAACAACTACCCCTGCCTTGACTACGTCTCTCTGAACCACGTCAATCCTCGCAAAACTTTTGCCCGGGACAGAACCTCCGCCTGTCCTCATGAACACTGTCCCTGCAGCACATGTGCACTTACAGCAGACAATGTGGACAAGTTGTTTTTTCTGGCCAAAAATCTGAAGATTGAGTAAAACTTCATGCTGGAACTCTTAGTTCATACATTTGTATCTTATTTGAGATTATTTTATTGAGCTTATTAGCATTACCATTCCCATCTGTATAATTAAAACAAATTGTTGGTTTAATATACACACACACAAAAAAAAAAAAAACAACAAGCAAATGGATTTGCATTCTCATACTGTACTGAAAATGAACTGAACTGTGACCTCAAAACCGATATACCTACTGGACCGTGATTTCTGTACCGTTACACCCCTTATAGCTGGTAGCCTGTAACTACTTCATGACATCACAAGGTGGAACAGAGCATTTTGAGCTTTCCAGATGTAAACAGCCCAATAATGCAGGAATAATGTAGGATTACTCAAACATGTGTGAATGAATAAAAATACAACTCCACATATGTTTTTGAGGAGGTAATAACATTCTAACATGGCTGAAAGCTCACAGTCCCCTGTAAACAGCACAGATCACACACGATCATCGCACTACAGCCTCTTACTTGGTCTCGTCCGTGTAGATGGCATCCAACATGGCCGACGCCAGCTCCAGGTTCCTGCGAAGCTCCTGGAGGTCCACCACACCCTGGTCCATCTGCTCCAGGACGCCCTTCATCCTACAACCCCAACACAGTGGCCAAATGTATTTTTATTTTTATTTTGACATAGCAAAGGGCCTACATTGTAAATTCTGTTGCCTAGGAAACTATACAAACAAAAAATTGTGTTCGGGGGTCACAAATGTCGATTTTGATAGTCGTTTAAGAACCTGGCCTTTTATTGGATTGTTTTTGTAAATCCAAGGTCTGTTTTGGCTCTCAGAGAGGCCAGATAAACCTTGTGTACTTTACAGCGCCTCATTCATCATTTATTTCATTTGTTTATTTATAAATGGTTGCTATTTTGGTTGGGCTCCCGTTTGGCTAAAATGTGTGTGTTGATGTTCGCGCGGGAGCTGGTGTCTGGGCTGAGTGACAGGACGGGCAGGTCGGCCCCCACACAGCTGTGCTCTGTTCACGCCTCACTCGCCAATCTGCTCTTCCAGATGGTCACATGACGCGCCGGCTGTCAATCACACGCCCCCTCTAGTCACATGATGCGTCAGCTGTCAATCAAATGTACCTGCTGGTCACATGATGCCTCAGCTGTCAATCAAACACTCTCTCTGGTCACATGACACGTCAGCTGTCAGTCAAACGCCCCTCTGGTCACATGACACATCAGCTGTCAGTCAAACGTACCCGCTGGTCACATGATGACTCAGCTGTCAGTCAAACTACCCTCAGGTTACATGACGTGTCAGCTGTCAATCAAACGCTCCTCTGGTCACGTGACGCGTCAGCTGTCAATCAAACGCTCCTCTGGTCACTGTGTCCATAGGTGTGTGTCAGACTCTGCTCTGGTTTGATCCCAGAGGTTCAGTGGGTTTATCTCCCAAAGCACCACATGCTGCTAGTTTGTAGCTTGGTGTTAGCTCAAAAAAATGTCATAGGATTAAAAACTTAAGGTTACAATCAGGAAATGGTTCATTTGGTTAAGAAAGGTTATCTCCAGGTTTAGGTTTATGTTTAGGGTCACATTTAGGTTAAGTTTAAGGGTAAGGTTTAAGTTTAGGGTTAGGGTTATATTGATGTTTATGTTTATTTTTAGGTTAAGGTTTAGGTTAATGTTTAGATTAACACTTAGGTTTACATTTAGGTCTAGGTTTATGTTTAGGTTTACATTTAAATTTAGGCTTAGATTAACATTTAGGTTTAGGTTTAGGCTAAGAACAGGATTAGAAAGTCGACTCGGTCCCTCTAGGCATAACTAATCTTATTCTAACTTTGCTCTTGCAGTACATAACACTAGAAAACTAAACAGAATGCAGACTTGTGGTAAAAAAACAAAACAAAAAAACACTCAAATATTGAATAGATTCAGATAAACACAGGTATATGTTTTCCACAAACTGCTTTTTCATGCAGAGCTGATCCATCGCCACATCATCTCAACAAGGCACACAACACCGGCTCTGCTGACGACCTCGATGGGAGACTGATCCACATTGCCTAGTTTGAATGTATGAATTCTTCTTCTTATTATTATTATTATTATTATTATGTACTAGCTGTCAATCATCTACTCCCTACTCCCCCCCCCCCCCCCCCCCTAAGATGGAGGAGGTGAAGGAGGACTTGGCCTGCCGCGACCTCTCACTCTTCATTCCTTACTCCCTTCCTCATGTCCTCTCCTCCGTCCTTGCTCCCTCGTCTCCATTGCCTGTTGGTACGTTCTGATGCCGTGAACCTCTGCAGTGTCTTTTGTTGTGCAATTTTCTGGATGCAGTCGTAACCATGGAAACACATTTCCAGGCATCCAGTTGTCAAGGCGATGAGCAGTTTTACGGGATGGAGACATTACAGACTCCACTGGCATGAAGAAGTCGTTAGTCCTGGTTAGATCTGGGTTTTTTCACCTTTGTCACTGGTTTAGTGTCAGTGCATGTGTTTTAGCCCGGGTGAGTCCTGCTTTGTCAAGTCTCTCTGTTTCTTCCTGTTTCAAATGTTCTCTGGTTGAGTTGTTTTGGCCTGTCATTGAGTCCACATTAAAGCTATAGTATGTAACTTTCAGGAGGTGGCACATCACCTGCATCATTCCTCATAGAGATAAGTTTCATAGTGTACAACAGCAGGAAGACGCCCTCTTCTAGGCCAAATGACAGTCAAGACAGTTAACATATTTTAAGGCTTAAAGGTTACGTAGTGAGGCTTTAACTATTTTATATTTTATATTCATGATTTTTTATCTTATAAGTTGGTCATGACACCACACAAAGTGAGGTGTTTAATTGGTTCTGGTTTAGTCCTGGTTTAGTCCTGGTTCAGTCCTGGTGTAGTCCTAGTGTAGTCCTGGTTCAGTCCTGGTGTAGTCCTGGTGTAGTCCTGGTTCAGTCCTGGTGTAGTTCTGGTTCAGTCCTGGTGTAGTCCTATTGTAGTTCTGGTGTAATCCTGGTTCAGTCCTGGTGTAGTTCTGGTGTAGTCCTGGTGTAGTCCTGGTGTAGTTCTGGTGTAGTCCTGGTGTAGTTCTGGTGTAGTCCTGGTGTAGTTCTGGTATAGTCCTGGTGTAGTCCTGGTGTAGTTCTGGTGTAGTCCTGGTGTAGTTCTGGTGTAGTCCTGGTGTAGTCCTGGTGTAGTTCTGGTGTAGTCCTGGTGTAGTTCTGGTGTAGTCCTGGTGTAGTTCTGGTATAGTCCTGGTGTAGTCCTGGTGTAGTTCTGGTGTAGTCCTGGTGTAGTTCTGGTATAGTCCTGGTGTAGTCCTGGTGTAGTTCTGGTGTAGTCCTGGTGTAGTTCTGGTGTAGTCCTGGTGTAGTTCTGGTGTAGTTCTGGTGTAGTCCTGGTGTAGTTCTGGTGTAGTTCTGGTGTAGTCCTGGTGTAGTCCTGCACTCACCTCTGTGAGGCGCTCTTGTACTTCTGCCTGTGAACACAGAGCACATACAGAGAGAGGTCAGCACACAGTGAGGTCACAAAGTGTTGTGTGTGTTCACTGTCACTGGGTCGTCTTTAAACAGAACAGAAGCAGTGCAGGTTTTCATCTTCTTCTAATTTATACCTGGTCTGGGATCTGTGATCAGTACTGAGTGTAGCTTTACATCAGTTCCCATGAAAAGAAAAAGTAAAGTATCTCTGATGTGTAAAACAGAATCTCTCTGTCTCTGTCATCAACAAAAACTCCATCCAAACTGTAAAAGAACTTTCTGTGACTCTTAAAACACTGATTTTAGACTTAGACATTTTTGATCCACAAGAAATCACTTGGACACACATTTAGTGATAAAGTTATTGTCACAGGTTCTAGGTTTTGGCAGTTGTTGTTAACATTATCGTTGCTAGGTAACAGACATATAATTACCTTTATGCATTATAAACTTTAATGAAACCAAAAGACTAAAAGAATCTAGGCAGGATTCTTGGTAAAATGACTCTGTTTTGGTGAAGTGACGAGTCAGTCCTGTCATGTGCACTCACTCGTGCTGAAACAAGCACAGGAAGAAAAGTGAATCTTGTTCAAAAAAGACACATTTAATATATTCAAATCACAATGTAAACACACACTATAGGTGCACTGTGGAACTTTTCTGGTGAAAAGTCTCCAGTGCTTGTCTCTGTGGAGATGTTATTACTTTGTCTTGAATGGAGGTCGTCTTCACAGGTTTGTAAAATGTGCACTCACTCAATACGTTCTATGTTCTCATGTAGTTTCCTGCTCACAAACACCTGGACTTGTTTCATTCACACATGTTTATATTTATACAGTTCTTAGAGAGTTCACCTTGTGATGTCATGTGGTAAAAGGAAGTGCTCCACTGTGTTTTTAAACTCCATACACTTTAACTAGAATCATTAGGATCATTTCAGTTCTGGACTGGACTACATCTGCTGAACTGAAGGTAAACGGAGCTGGTAACCTGAAAACTACCACTTCATGACATCACAAGGTGGAACAGAGCATGTAGAGCTTTGGAGATGTAGACAGACTAATGATGCAGCATTATTCCAACATGTGTGAATGAAACAAACACGACTGCAGGTGTGTTTGTGAGGAAGTGGCATCACTATATCTGAGTTATAATCTACTAGAGTCACCTTAGTGTAACGTACTGTAGGTCCTGATGGAGCAGAGTGAGATGATCTGAGGAGAAGATGGAGGTGCAGAGGAGGTGATGGACATGAGATGGTGTGAGGAGTGTTCCTGAGGTGTCAGGTCAGTTCTCTGGCATATGTTCCACTGCATCATGCTGTGGTCCTGGGGGAACAAACGGATCTTCTGCTCTGTTTGTCACAGTGTGAAATCACAGAGCGTGAGATCACAGCTGTGTGGAGCTCTCCTGCTCAGAGGACTTATCTTCTGAACACACAAACGTTTGTACATCCACCCAAGTTTGGTCTGTTCTTTGTTTGCTGAAAGGATTCGTCCAAACTGCTCATTGTTATTTTTGATACACTGGACAAAATAAAGCTGCCTGTCTGCACCTCAAAAATGCTCTACACAGACGTGAGAGTATTTAAAAACTGTCTCAAGTAAGATGAGGGACAGGAGGGACACATGAGGGACAGGAGGGACACATGAGGGACAGGAGGGACACATGTGGGGCAGGAGGGATACATGAGGGACAGGAGGGACACATGAGGGACAGGAGGGACACATGAGGGACAGGAGGAACACATGAGGGACAGGAGGGACACATGTGGGGCAGGAGGGACACATGTGGGGCAGGAGGGACACATGTGGGACAGGAGGGACACATGAGGGACAGGAGGGACACATGAGGGACAGGAGGGACACATGAGGGACAGGAGGGACACATGTGGGGCAGGAGGGACACATGTGGGACAGGAGGGACACATGAGGGACAGGAGGGACACATGAGGGACAGGAGGGACACATGAGGGACAGGAGGGACACATGTGGGGCAGGAGGGACACATGTGGGACAGGAGGGACACATGTGGGGCAGGAGGGACACATGTGGGACAGGAGGGACACATGAGGGACAGGAGGGTGAGGGCCATTCAACTCCACTGGCTTCTGGTCCCTCATGTGCCAGTGGCCCTCATGTGCCCGTCATGTGCCCGTCATGTGCCCGTCATGTGCCCGTCATGTGCCCGTCATGTGCCAGTGCATGAAGGTTGGGTGATCAGTTCTCACTCAGAGTTTTTTGTGTTTGTGTTGTTGTGTCTTTAGGCAGGTCTTGGCATGGATGTCTTTGTGTGTGTGTGTATGTGTGTGTATGTGTGCGTGTGTGCGCATGTGTGTGTGACAGGAGGGGTTGATGGTGCAGATTGGCAGTGTCGCTTCTGCCAGTCTGCCCCAGGGCAGCTGTGGCTGTAGTATCTTAGCACCACAGACAGTGGAGCAAATGATAAAGAGACAAGTATGTAACAGTTTACAGTGATATGATTGTGTGTGTCCACATGTGTGTGCGTGTGTCCATGTGTGTGTGTGTGTCCACGTGTGTGTGTGTGTCCACGTGTGTGTGTCTTGTGTGTGTGTGTGTGTGTGTGGTGATAGGGGTGTGTGTGTCCATGTGTGTGTGTGTTGGGTTTTATGTGGTTCATGTGAATTTATTCTGTAAAATATTCAAGAAAACACAGTTGTATAGTTGTCCTCCATGACCCCCATGGATCATTGTGTTTGCACTTTGTCATTTGCACTTTAAAAATCACAATATTGATCTGAAACAACTGAACAAACGAAACAAATGCTCTGACTTCTGCGTTAGAAAACGACAGTGCCCCGTGGAGCTGACGTGGCCGTAAACGTCATGACAACAAAGCGTCGCAGGCTGTGGCTCCTCCTGTGGAGAGCTGCACATCACACCAGTGATCAGAGGATTTATTGTTTCACATGGCAGAAGAGCTCTGATTGAACCTGGCCTTTGAGATGGATTCTCACGATATTTGTGTGTTCACAAACTCACGAGAATCCATGTGCTGCTCCTGCTGTTGTGACTGCCCAGTTTAACCAGAGGCTCTGACCAATCACAGAGCAGCATTGTGGTTTGGGCGGAGCCAAAGGCCAAGCAAACCAAACATGGAGATAAGGATGGACATGCTTCAGCTTTTTTAAACAGAAATACTGTTTAGTTTGTGGATATTGTCGAGGGCGGTGCTTGTGTGTGTGTACAGGGAAAGATGAGTGTGTTTTAGAGCAGATGGAAGTAAAGTTTGATCTTTCAGTGAGAGATTTCAGTGAGTCTGAAAAGTGTTTCTAATGTCCTTGTAATGTCCTTGTACCAGTGTATGAAGAACAGTGAGGCCTACATCTGCAGCAGGGGTCTCCAGCCTGGAGCGCAGGACCTACCTGCAGCTCTCACCCCCTTTCAAGTAACTCAACAAGGGATTTTTGAGCTGAATAACAAAAATGTGGTTAATTTCAGGCCTATTACATTTGTGAATGTATAATTTTAAAGGCCGACTTTGTGCACTAATAAATGAACAGTGGTTTATGTTTTATAGGTTTTATAGGCGTCTAACTGTACCCCAAGGCTCATCCTCTTTCTTATAAACATCTCTCTTTCTTGTGATTGCTAAAATAAGTAGCTCTCTGGCATTTCTGTTTTATAAAGGAGCTCACCGGAGGAAAAAGGTTCCTGCTTTAAAACATGGGACAGGAGTCTTGTTATTAAAGAGGGGGTCTTATGCAAAATGGACTTTTTGGAGCTTTCTGTCATGTTATAATGTAATTCCCTCTTCCAAAACATGCCTGAAGAGGTTGGAAATGTTCAGTGTCCATGTGTGTGGGAGTATTCTAATGATCTCTTACAGCTAACCCTTCTTAGAGTTAGCTGTGAGATTCTGTCCAAGGCTCCGCCCACATGCCTATGTCGCCCATGCTCCCACACCACAATTCTCCATAAATAAACAAAAACATGATACAAAACTGTACACAGCGACTTAACAAACTTGGTGCAATTCATTCGTGGGACGTGCACTGATTGTTTTGGGATCGTGCTCTGAAGGGGGAGTGTGCACTGAAAACAAAAGTGAAACTTATAAAACAATATGTTGTTTTCAGTGGTTTATCATTTTCAAAACAATAAAAGGAACATGGTGATCTAAATATGTGGTGTGTTACAGTTAATACCCTCTTTAATGATGCAGGCTCCTCATGTTTGAACAGGAGGAACATCTGAGCTGGACGCCCTGGAGATCCATCTTAAGGCCGCCACACACTACAGGATTTTCAGTCTTAAACTATTTTTAAACATGCGTCAAAAAGCACACACCACACACTCAAGGAGAATTTTATGAGATTTAACATCTCCAATCTAAAAGACTGCAGTGGGATCTGTCTGTGGAGCGCAGGATATAAAGTTGTGAGCGCATCACGTCAGCTGTTTCCTTTCTACAGTAAAACCAGTCGCTCTGAGACTCTGAGACAAAACTGTGTTATTATTATTTGTGAAATGTGGAGCAAAACTTCAGATACAGGATTTTTCAAGAATTATAGTTTGGTGATCAACAGGAAGTAGAGTCACTATCACTGGTCTGCAGCTTCACCTCGATCCTTAAACAGACACACATGAGGAACTACTCTCACCTTTTTACTTTTAAATGGACTGGAGTCTTTATTTGTGGAGGACAAATTCTATGGATAATGTGGATGAGATGCTGCACTTTAAATGTACCACTTTATGAGAGGTGAGGAATAAAGTTTTCTTCTTATTTTCACTATATCCTGAGTTTGTATTTTGCGCCTCAGTGTCCGTTACTCCTCTGCACCTGACGCTGTGTGTTTTTTTGGCTGTTGCTGTAACGTTGCAGATGTTTGGTGGTTACGATCTGACAGAGCAGCTCAGAGTCACTGACACCGCACACGAGGAGAGCAGCGGCTTCAAACTCACACACAAAGACACAAAATCACAGCCTAAATCAGGCAAATTCTCATGTCGTGTGGCAGCCTTTAATCTC